TATATATATATATATATAATGTTTTTCTATCGAGACACCTGGTCTGCCCCAGCATATGGGAGGGAACATACTGTATCCCTTTTGCCATATATATATACCCTCGCACATATGTGCTAGTTATTCCCAACTCTAGGGGGTGGTGCTCATCTCCGTTTCAAAGCCGAAGAGTCAGCGCTGTCCAGAGACGTCTCCGTGGTCATGTGGCCGGCATGACTCAATGCCAAAGGCGCACGGTACGCTGTTCCCTTCCCACCAAAGGGGGTCCCTATTTTTCTACTTGCATTTTTTACGTGCTTTCGAACTGCTAGGTTGGCAGAAGCTGGGACAAGTCACGGGAGCTCACCCCATTACGCGGCACTAGGGATTCGAACCGCTGAACTGCCGACCTTTCAATCGACAAGCTCAGCGTCTTAGCCACTGAGCCACCACATCTCTTCATTTCTTTATTCATTACATTAGCATTAATTCTATAATATTAAAATGATAGTAGGAAAAAAGGAGGGACAGATATAGGTAGTCCTCGACTTACGACCACAATTAGGCCCAAAATTTATGTTTGCTAAGCCAGACAGTCACTTAACGAACTGTTGTAAGTCCAGGACTGCCTGTAGTTCACTGAACAACCATGTTACTAGCTGCAGTGATCCGCTTCGCATTGTAGTTTTTATAACTACAACGGGGCCTCGAAATTTCCAATGAGTTTCGCCCCGTTCTATGACCATTCTTGCCCCGGCTGTTAAGTGAATCACTGCCATGGCTAAGTGCCTCTACTCCCACAGGATTCTTCTAAGCTTGCATCCTAAGCATCCAGCTCAGGGGTGAAATCCAGCAGGTTCTGAAGAACCGGTAGCGGAAATTTTGAGTAATTCGGAGAACCGGCAAATACCACTTCTGGGTGGCCCCAGAGTGGGGGTGGGAATGGAGATTTTGCAATAGCCTTCCACCAAGAGCGGGGAGGGAATGGGGATTCTGCAGTATCCTTTCCCTGGAGTGGGGTGGGAATGGAGATTTTGCAGTATCCTTCCCCCAGGAGTGAGGAGGGAATGGGAATTTTTGAGTAATTCGGAGAACCGGCAAATACCACCTCTGGCTGGCCCCAGAGTGGGGGTGGGAATGGAGATTTTGCAATATCCTTCCTCCAGGAGTAGGGAAGGGATGGAGATTTTGCAGTATCCTTCCCCTGCCACGCCCACCAAGCCACACAACACCCGCCAAACCACGCCCACAGAACCGGTAGTAAAAAAAATTGGATTTCACCACTGATCCAGCTGAACTGCAAAACACAACAGCGAATTGTATCATCCTGGTTGACTAAGACTATCGCAAACAGGATAAATCTACAACACAAAAATTGCCAAACTCCTGTCCAGGATAACATGCAAAGCTTGCTTCACTTCCATTTCCTTTTGCTGATCTCTTCCAACCGTTTCCTTCTCCCCCACCTCTTCCTCTTCTCTTCTAGGTGTTGCTCACAGCTTATTAAAAAAAAGGATCATTTCCTTGTTGCTGATATCTGGGTGTGAATCAGGACCATGCTGGTTTATGATCATAATAAAGATTGGGTTGATAACTGGGGGTGTGTGGGGAGGGCAGTAAAACAGGAGGGAAATTTAATCCATCCGCTCCATACAGATAGTCCTTCGTTCGTTTAGTGACCGTTTGAAAGGGCAACAGCGCTGAAGAAAGGGATTTATGACTGATTTTCTTTTTTTTTTCCCTTGTTTTTTTTTTTTTTGAGTCGGAACCAGGAGACCCTATACCCGTGATGGCGAATCTATGGCACGCGTGCCACAGGTGGCAAGCGGAACCATATCGGTGGGTACACGAGTGTTGCCGTAGCTCAGCTCCAGCACGCATGCGTGCGCTGGCCAGCTGATTTTTGGGCCTTCTGGGCCCAACGGAAGTCGGCAAATGGGCTGTTTCCGGCCTCTGGAGGGCCTCCGGGGAGGTGGGGAAGGCCGTTTTTGCCCTCCCCAGGCTCCTAGGAAGCCTCTAGAGCCTGGGGAGGGCAAAAAACGGACCTAACGGACTCACCGTGCCATCACATGCCAAAAGCAGGGGGCGCATGGGGGGGTCGTGCACACATGCATGTGGGGGCAGGGGGCATAGAATTATGGGTGTGGGCACGCACACGCGTGACCACCCCGCACTCCCCCAGCTTTTGGCACGCGATGGCAAAAAGGTTAGCCATCACTGCCCTATACCATTTCAGACAAATGGCTGTCCAATCTCTTCCAATGTTTATTAAAAACTTCCAGTGTTCTCACTTAACGTCTGTTCCAGCACCCCTATGGTTCCGTGATCAAGAGAGCAACAAGGACCCCACAGTCCTCCTCCTCCCCCCGCCCTGAAAATCCCACTCCCCTCTAGCACTGATGATGTTACCTAGTTTGGTACTGAAACGTCCGAAAGAAAAGCTTCAAGAGCACCATGGATTCCCCAGTTCATCCCCCGAGTTACATACAGTAGTGGCCAAAATTGTGGAAACCTTTTGGGAACTCCAACTAGTGGGAAGTCTGTTCTGGAAGCTCTTATTTTCTTTTTCTTTTTAAACATGTTTTATTTGCAGTTTTCTTTTCACACCATACATATTTTTTGGACAATGTATTGACTGGGTCAAGTCTTTCTTAAACAAAAGCTAACAATAGTAATAGAGATAAGTATGTGTAAGCCTAATCTTCCAATTTCAACAATACTATTCTCTTTTCATAATCCTTTATCATTTTTTCCCCATTAATTCATTTAAGCATAGATAACATTTCTTCGCGCCATGTATTTGTTATCCCATACTAAATTACGATTATTTAATATTTTGAAAATTACCCGTTATTCCCCACATGCCTTCAATATTCCAAAGGTGTAGGATTACTAATAACGCCAAATATTAACAATATTTAATCAACCCCAGGAGAGTATCTCAAAATCCCCACAGTTTCTAATCCTTAATATTTTAAATTCACAATATACTTTAACACACAATTAATGTTAATAATACAATTCAATTGCCTACTCCTTAATTTCCATCTGCTAGTTGTAACAAGTTGTATTATCCATTAATATATATACTACTGTTTTCCCTATTTGTATTTTCCCATTTTATCCATCATCTCTTAACCTTTTTACAATTCCATCATCGATTGACTTTTTAGTCAGCCTTTTATCTCTCTCTCTTATAGCTCTTTTTGATATTTTTGTGCCTACTGAACATGGAAGCTCTTTTCATGAACAGATCCAAGAGATCTGAGTGGGTTTCCTGGTGCTCAAATTGCATTCGGAGGTCTTTCATTTTTTTATTGAGATGTCCAAATTGATGGCATGTTTCTTTTTAGGAGAGCTATAATTCCTAAAGTCCATAAGGATGGCAGAGTTCCTCCCCGCCCCCCATATTGGCAATCTTCTGAATGTAGTCTCAGTTTTAGACGTCAAAATGTTTTTCTAGAATTAAGTCATGGAAACAGAAGGAGAAGTAACCTTAAGGGCTCCAAAATGACCAAACATTTGTCACGCATCATGACCCAAACACTGGTCTTTCATAGTTGTTGTCCAACAACAGACGCAAATATATAAATCACAGGGTGGACATTGGAAAGTCACAATAGACATTTTGTCATTTCCCTCGTTTCCTCATCGCATGTGCTTATGAGCGTAGAAGACCTTCTGATTTTTAATTTTACTTTTTAAAGGACCAGGCTGAAGTGTAATCCATCAGGTCGTGTCTGCGAACAATGACTCCATTTTGAAAAGGAGGAGTGGGTCATAATTTCTCTAGAGTAGATGAGGGTTTACGATTTCGGTTTGTTGTTTTTTTTTCAAAACGGGGTATATCCAAATAATTTCTGGAGCCTTCGTTCTGCCCATGAATCATAGTGCATAAGTTTCAATAGCATGTCTAAAGAAGGAAGAGAAAAGAGGAAGTTAAGAGAATAACTATTTTTGTTCTGGGTTATTACACCAATAAAACAGATCAGGGACATAATTTTGAAAGTTTGTGGAAAGGTTTAGAATTTTAAGAGAACTTGAGGGACAGTCCCCCAACATTTTATTTTATTTTTTATTTTTATTAAATTTCTATACCGCCCTACTCCCGAAGGACTCAGGGCGGTGAACAGCCACAGAATAAAACACATAAGTACAAAAATTTAAAATAGAATAAAAACGAATTAAATAATTTGGCTGAAAAAATTTAAAATACCCCATAATTTAAAAACAAATTAAAATTTACATTTAAAAAGGGGAGGAGATTTAGGCCAAGCCAGGCCAACATTGATTTAAGTAGAGGTTTGCTAGTTTCTAATCTTCCTTCCTTCCCTCCCTCCCTTCCTCCCTCCCTCCCTCTTCCTTCCTTCTTTCTTTCTTTCTTTCTTTCTTTCTTTCTTTCTTTCTTTCTTTCTTTCTTTCTTTCTTTCTTCCCTCCCTCCCTCCCTCTCTCTCTCTCTCTCTTTCTTTCTTTCTTTCTTTCTTTCTTTCTTTCTTTCTTTCTTTCTTTTTTCCTTTTATCCTTCCTTCCTTCCTTCCTTCCTTCCTTCCTTCCTTCCTTCCTTCCTTCCTTCCTTCCTTCCTCTCTTTTCTTCCCTCCCTCCCTCCTTTCTTTGAATATGGCTGCCAAATGCTGACTAGGGAACATTGGGAGTTTTAGTCCCCACATCTTATAGTCACTGAGGTTGAGAAGCATTGGTTAAGGGCATGAGACCACAGTCGTGCTTAAATATATACAGGTAGTCCTCAACCTACGACCACAATTGAGTCCCCAATTTTTGTTGATAAGCGAGACTTTTGTTAAATGAATTTTGCCCCACTTTATTATGAGCTTTCTTGGCACAGTTGTGAAGTGAATCACTGCAACTACCGTGTTTCCCCGAAAATAAGACCCCGTCTTACATTTTTTTGAACCCCGAAATAAGCACTTGGCCTTATTTTCGGGGAGGTCTTATTATTTTGGGGCACGTGGAGCAAGATGAGGCTCCTCTTGCTGTCTTACCTGATTTCCAAATATTTCCAAATATTTTCAGGGAGGTCTTATTTTCGGGGGGCAGGTTTATTTTAGCGCATGTGCTCAAAAGCCCGATTGGGCTTATTATCAGGGGATGTCTTATTTTTGGGAAAACAGGGTAGTAACATGATGGTTAAGTAAATCTGGCTTCACCACTGACTCTCCTTGTCAGAAGGTTGCAAAAGGGAATCAAATGACCATGCGACACTGCAACTGTCATAAGTATGAGTCACTTGCCAAGCATCTGATTACGGATCAGATGTTCACAGGGGGTGCTACCAAGATCGTAATTGTGAAAAACAGTCGCTGCTGGCTGGGGGATTCTGGGAGTTGAAGTCCACCCATCTTCAAGCTACCAAGTTTGAAAAACACTGCACTAAATGAACTGTTGTAAATCAAGGACCACCTGCGTTTGATCGTTCCTGTCCTAGTCTGGTCATTTTACTTGGGCAGGTAGAGTTTCTCCTTTCAGTTTTAGGAAAGTTTTTTTGTTTTTTTTTAATAAAAAGATAAATTACGGAAATTACCTTGGAGTGGAATGCAACTTCCAGTATGAAAACATGCCTACAAAAACAAGGAATCCGAGTAAGGAACCCACAACTATTCCTGCTGTTTCCTTTCCCATAAGAATGATATTCCAAGCCTCTAGATCCTTTCCGGAAGAGTCTAAAAAAAAAAAATCCAGAATGAACTTAGCGGTCGGGTTATAAGTCGTAGACTTATTATTTCTTACAGGTAATCCTCCACTTACGACCACAATTGAGTCGAAATGTCTGTTGCTTAAGCGAGACATTTGTTAAGTGAGCTTTCCCCCATTTTGCAACCTTTCTTGCCACGGTTGTTAAGTGAGTCACTGCAGTTAGTAAGACAGTTATTACAGGAATCTGGATGTCTACGGAGATTTTATTTACTTATTTACTTATTTATTTATTTATTTATTTATTTATTTGATTTATATGCGGCCCTTCTCCGGAGACTCAGGGCGGCTTACAATGCGTTAAGCAATAGCCTTCATACTTTTGTATATTTATGGCTTAGGACCTGGGTACCTACAAGACCGTCTTTTGCTACCAATAGCCTCCCACCGACCAGTTCGTTCTCACAGGGAGGGACTACTCAGGGTACTGTCAGTCAAATTATGTCGACTGGCGACTCCCAGGGGGAGGGCCTTCTCTATGGGGGCTCCAACCCTTTGGAATGAACTGCCCCCGGAGATACGGAATATCCCTGATCTCTGTGCTTTCCGCCGTGCCCTCAAGACCCTGATGTTCCAACAGGCGGAGCTAAACATACGAACATGTGAATGATTTATTAAATGTTATCTAATTCTGGGTTTTATTTAATTGACCAAACTAAGTAATAATTTTAATTAGCAATTTTATGATGTTTGTGTGTCTATATTTTTCTTGACTGTACACTGCCTTGAGTCCTACGGGAGAAAGGCGGTATAGAAATATAATAAATAAATAAATAAATAAATAAATAAATAAATAAATAAATAAATAAATACAAAGTCAGCTTATTGCCCCCACAAACCGGGTCCTCAATTTACCTACCTTAGAAAGGATGGAAGGCTGAGTCAACCTTGAGCCTGGTGAGATTCGAACTTACAGTAATTGCAGACAGCTGGTGTTAATCACAATGCTATCAGTCTGCTGAGCCACCAGGTCCTATTTATTTATTTTATCGGACTTATATGCCGCCCTTCTTCACAGGGACTCAGGGCGGCTCACAACAATAAGCGACAGCAAGTCTAGATTCTCAGGTCATCCAGGTCACTGAACTTCCTTGGTTTTTTCTTTTGAAGACGTTTCGCTTCTCATCCCAAGAAGCTTCTTCAGCTCATGAGCTTGAAAAAAAGAACCTTTTGGGATATAGGAATCTGGCTTGTCTCATGGACTTTGCCCGTCAATAGGTCGCAAAAGGACATCCCACAACCGGGACATATGAGTCAGTTGTCAAGCATCTCAATTTTAATCATGTGGCCATGGGGATGATGCAACGGTCGTAAGTGTGGAAAACGATCATCAGTCACTTTTTTCAGTGCCGTTGTGACTTTGAATGTTGACTAAATGAACTGTCGTAAGCTGAGAACTACTACTTATTATTATTATTATTATTATTATTATTATTATTATTATTATTATTATTGGTTGTGTTTGATCTCACGGGGATGGGGTGGCCGTGGCCAGGTTGGGTGTGACAACTGAACGTCAGTTGTGTCGGGAGGGGAGGGGGCGCCTGTCGTGGCCCCAACACTCTGCCAGCAAACAGGCTTCCGAGCTCTGTTTTCAGCTGTCACGGCCTCCTGCAACCCTCTGCCAATAAAAACGGAGCTCTGTTTTTACTGGCAGAGCATTGCAGGAGGCTGTAGCAGCTGAAAACGGAGCTCGGAAGCCTGTTTGCTGGCAGAAGCACCGCAGGCCAGTCTTTCACTGTTTCCAGGGTGGCCCATCCATTGAGTTTGACACCCCTGCTGTCGAGGGTATGAAAGGATCCCTTATCTATTTACCTGTGATCTCTAACAACACTTCCCCTTTTTCGTAGGCATTTTTGGCAGCTCCCTTTATCAGGATGACATAGAAACCGGCGTCCCCCAACGTTAAATTAGTGATGCTCAGAGAACAATCCAGTTGTATCTGCTCCCGGCCCGTGTAAGCGTTGCTGTAATTGACTCTAAGTATGGGGGATGTTTGGTAGGTCACGATTTTGTTCTCCTTCTGGATGCGACTTCGGAACCACGAGCAGAGAGAGATGTTCTCCATGCTTCCTACTGGGATGAAGATGACTTCCCTCCCAATCAAGGGTCTGGGTGGCTCGATTCTGACGGCAATATAAGTGTTGCCAGCTTGAGACCCCAAGATGCAAGACGAACCCAGAAGATAACCTATGAGGATGGAGAGAGAGAGGGGGAGTGGGGGAGAGAGAATGAGAGAGAGAGAATGAGAGAATAAGAGACAGAACGAGAGAGAGAGAGAGAGAGAGAAAGAGAATGAGAGAGAGAGAGAGAAACAGAGAAAGAGAGAGAGAAAATAAGAGAAAGAGAGAATGAGAAAATGAGGGAAAGAGAGAGAGAGAAAGAGAATGAGAGATGGGGAGAATAAGACAGAAAGAGAGAATGAGAGAAAGAGAGAGAATGAGAGAGAGAGAGAGAAAGAGAATGAGAGAGAGAGAGAAAGAAAGAGAGAGAGAATAAGAGAGAGAGAGAATGAGAAAATGAGGAAAGAGAGAGAAGAGAATGAGAGATGGGGAGAATAAGACAGAAGAGAGAATGAGAGAAAGAGAGAGAATGAGAGACAGAATGAGAGAGAGAGAGAAGAGAAAGAGAGAGAGAAACAAAGAAAGAGAATAAGACAGAAAGAGAGAATGAGAAAATGAGGGGAAGAGAAAGAGAATGAGAGAGGGAGAGAGAGGAGAATAAGACAGAATGAGAGAATGAAAGTGAGAGAATGAGAGAGACAGATCAGAGAGAGAGAGAGAATGAGAAAATGAGGGAAAGAGAGAGAGAGAATGAGAGATGGAGAGAGGGGGAGAATAAGAAGAGAGAAAGAGAGAGAATGAGAGAAGAGAACGAGAGAGAGAGAGAGAGAGATTTAATCTATCCTCCCATTGATTGCCAATTTGGATTTAGGGCTTGTCAGAAGTTCCCAAAAAGAGATCACATGACCCCAGGACACTGCAACCGTCATAAATACGAGCCAGTTGCCAGTGTCCAAATTTGATCACGTGACCACGAGGAGGCTGCAAGGGTGAAAGACTGTCATGTCCCTTTTTTCAGCGCCCTTGTAACTTCCCACGGTCACTAAACAAACAGTTGTAAGATGTGGTACGGCCCCTATTTATTTGGTTTTTTGCCCTTTTCTGCCAACCGTCTTTCACCCTAGACCAGGGGTCTCCAATCTTGGCAACTTTAAACCTGGAGGACTTCAACTCCCAGAATTCTAAATGTTGGTCTGTTTTTAGGAAGATTGTGAATTCTGGGAGTTGAAGTCCGTCAGGCTTAAAGTTGCCAAGGTTGGGAGACTCCTGTCCTCGACCACAGCCAGCCACCCCAAAGAGCCCCATTCTTTTACCTGCCAAGACCATTGTTGGCCAGAGCTTTCTTTGTCTAAAGGACCAGCCTCGTTCCAAGCAACCTCTCCTTGATGCTTCGGGCTCTCTAGGGAACCGGAGAATATTATACATGATGGAGGATTCTTTGGGAGTCTTGCCCACTTAGTTTCTCCGGATCTTTTCTGGCAGCATCTTCCCTCCCCACACCCTTGAGCCCCCCTCCCTCCAGGTCACAAGAAGAGGTAATAAAGCAGAGGTGTGAGCTAAGCTGACCTGGGAGTAATGTAAATGAAGCTGGCTCTGATAGATGACCACTGGATAACTTTCTATTCACTCTATTCTAAAAAGCAATGCATCCGGTTGGAAAAAGTATAAACTCAGCCAAAATCCTTTTGGTACCTCTAGGAGGCCTCTAAGTTGTCAGAAGAAAGGAACATTCTAATGACATACATCTTAAAGGTTGGTTAGGTCAAGGGGAATCCACATGAGTTAAAAGTTGTCTATCGTCAGAAGATGATTTGAGTCTATGCTTCAGTAATCTACAAAAAGAATTATAACTGTTGGCAAAGAATAAAATGAAACAGTAATTAGGAAGTGTCAATTAAAAATGACAAATGTATATGATCACATAAACTGCTGAGTTAACAGAATCCTTTGTCTAGAAGGGTATAAAACCATTGTACCTAATTTCTGTCTTTTGTTCAATGCTTCATGTACAGAGCTTTGAACCTATGGCGCAATATACAAATTGTCTCTGATTAACCCAAAAGTTGTGTTGGTCTTATTAAATCCACAACAGGAGAGCCTCTGTTTTGGAGGTGCCCAGGCCAGCTATGAGCATTTGAACCCGGATCTCTCAAAAGCCATATGGGGATATGGCCGAGGATAGGATGACATCCCAGGGATCTGTTCAATGAAATGTTGGTCTATTTTTAGGGAGATTGTAAGTAGATTTAGACTTAGATTCAAATGTAGTAGATTCAGATGTAGTAGATTCAGCCGTAAATTCAAATTTAGATTTAGGTTTAGATTTTAGATGGTTTAGATGTAGATGTAGATGATTTAGATTTAGACAGACTTAGATTTGAATTTGGATTTAGATTTTAGATTTAGATGATTTAGATTTTAGATTTAAATTTAAATTTAGATTTAGACTCAGATTTAGATGATTTAGATTTAGACAGACTTAGATTTAAATTTAGATTTAGATTTTAGATTTAGATGATTTAGATTTTAGATTATTTAGACTTAGACTAGATTTAGGTTAGATTTTAGATTTAGATGTTAGATTTAGATTTAAATTTAAATTTTAGATTTAGACTCAGATTTAGATGATTTAGATTTAGACTTGGATTAGATTAGATTAGGTTTAGGTTTAGGTTAAATTTTAGATTTAGATTTAGATTTTAGATTTAAATTTAAATTTTAGATTTAGACTCAGATTTAGATGATTTAGATTTAGACTTAGATTAGATTTAGGTTTGGATTTTAGGTTTAGGTTTAAATTTTAGACAACAACAATCTGGGTCCTCATTTTATTGACCTCGGAAGGACGGAAGGCTGAATCAACCTTGTAGAAGGTAAACTACTTCCCAAAAAGTTGCCAACAAAATGGCAGGGAATGACGAGAAGTCAAGAATTCCTCCAAGGACCCCAACAGAAACAGCGCAAATAAACTTTCTGTAAAACCACCCTACAGATTGTCCTCGACTTACAACCATTCATTTAGCGACTGTTCAAAGTTACAAATGCACTGCAAAAAAGACCATTTTTCACGATTACAACCTCTGGAACATCCCTGCGGTCACGGGATCGAAATTCGCATGTTTGGCAACTGACATCGTATTTATGACGGTTGAATTCTCCTGGGGTCAGGTGACCCCCTTTCGATGAACTTCTGACAAGCAAAATCAAGGGAGAAGCCACTTAGCGACCATGTGGCGAACTTAACAACGGCAGTGATTCACTGAACGACGGGGGTGAGTGGGCAAGAAAGTCTGTGAAATAGGGCAAAACTCACTTAACGACTGTTGCTAAATGTGCTCGGCAGCCGGAAATTTGGGCCTCAGTTGTGGTCATAAGTCGAGACGTACCTGTTCTGCCCCAGCTATGGACCCCAAAGAACGCAGCACACACAAAGTCTGTACAAACCTTAGTTTACTAAATTAAATCAGCCTTTTTCAAACAAAGGCTGTTAATTAACTTTCTTAACAGCCAACAAGAATCCAAAGAATAAATAATGGTAATCTTACTAGGATTGGCAGAAAGCCCAGAAGCAATTTGCAGGAAGCTGATAAAAGAACTGAGATCCAGACGTGAAGGGGAGTGAACTAAGTTGTTTCCTGCAAATTGCCTCAGTCGTCGTCCGTCCTTAAATAGGCTAAGGGAGTGGCCAATTAGCCCCAAGCCTTACTCTCGAGGAGACCTCCTCCTGAGGAGCCACTCCTGCCTTTTGGCAGCTCTGCACGCCCGTGCATTGATAAGAGGCTCCTCCTCTTCTTCCTCTTCACCCATGGAAGTTTCTGGAAGTTCTGAAGGCCCTGGCTGAATCCCCGTCTCTGGCACCACATCTTCTCCAGCCTCCTCATTGTCTGACTCGAGTGCCAGCTGCACAGGCTGCTGGTACAACACCACACCAGCCTCCTCGCTGTCGGATTCAGATACTAGCTGCACAGGCCGCTGACGGGCCACAACGGTACCCATATAAAGAAATAAACCTAACTTGGATTGTAAACAGCCTAGAGTTAGCTTTGCATGGTTTGTTTAATAACAAACAAACAAACAAATTCCCTGGAAAATAAGTTCGGGTCAAGTCGAAGTTTGGGCACTGAGGTCTTTTATTTCATCAATACAGGTGATGGATTTTTTTTTTTCATTTTTATTTTTTTTTTGCTCCTGAGGACTCTGGAGGGTTAGAATTGTTGACTTTTGGAGTCCCCAGAATGTCCCTCCATATTTTGTTGTTGGATCCCTGTAGATGGCATCTTTCATGGCGGTGGGGGAGAGACGGATGAGCAGGGGGTCACTGGGACTGGTGGCTGATGCTAAGACTTGGATGTTACCAAGACTCCAGGCTGGAGTAATCTTCATTCTTCATTATCTGGAAGACAATGTTATTAGCAGGTATTACTGAGCCGTGGTGGAGCAGTGGTGAGAGGGCAGTACTGCAGGCTACTTCTGCTGACTGCCGTCTGCCTGCCATTTGGCAGTTCGAATCCCACCAGGCTCAAGGTTGACTCAGCCTTTTGTCCCTCCAAGATGAGTCAAATGAGGACCCAAAATTGTTGGGGGCAATAATGCTGACTCTGTAAACCGCTTAGAGAGCTGTAAAGCACTGTGAAGCGGTATATAAGTCTAAGTGCTATTGCTATCTTCCTAACTCCCTCCCTCCCTCCCTTCTATGGTGTGCAGTTAGAATGCAGCATTGCAGGCTAACTCTGCCCACTGCAAGGAGTTCGATCCTCACAGGCTCAAGGTTGACTCAGCCTTCTAACCTTCCAAGGTGGATAAAATGAGGACCCAAATTGTTGGGGGCAAGAGGCCGATTCTGTAAACTTAGAGAAGGCTGTAAAGCACTGTGAAGCGGTATATAAGTCTAAGTCTATTGCTATTTATTTATTTATTTAGCGGATGGCATATCATACATGGACTGGTAATATAAATTAACCAGTCAACCAGATTGATAGAACCCAATAAAATATAAATGTCAAAAAAGAGCTAGGTTCAAATATAGGTAGTCCTCGATTTATAACAGTTCATCTAGTGAGTTTTCGAAGTTACAAGGGCACTGAAAAAAGCGACTTATGACCGTTTTTCACACTGACGATCTTTGTAGCGTCCCCATCATCGTGTGATCAAAATTCAGATGCTTGGCCATTGGTTCAGATTTACGACCGTTGCTGCGTCCCAACGTCACGCAATCCCTTTTTGCGACCGTCTGCCAAGCAAAGTCCATGGGGAAGCCAGATTCACTTAACAACCAGTTTACTAATTTAAGAACTGCAGTGATTCGCTTAACAACGGTGGCCAAGAAAGGTCGTCACATAAGGCAAAATTCACTGAACCATTGACTTGCTCAGCAACAGAAATGTTGGGCTCAGTTGTGGTCGTAAGTTGAGGACTACCTGCACAGCCTTAAGAGGTTGCAGAAAAAAATGCTTTTAGAAGCCTCTGACGATCAGGCAACTAACTCTGCTGGGATTGCCAGAGGCTTTTAAAGGCATTTTGTTTTTCTACAACATCTTCGGCTGAAGAGATTGCAGAAAAAAATGCTTTTAAAAGCCTCTGACGATCCCACCTGAGCCGCGCAATCATCAGAGGCTTTTTTTTTAACTTTTAAAAGCATTTTTTCGGCCGAAGAGGTTGTAGAAAAAATGCTTTTAAAAGTTTAAAAAAAAAGCCTTTGATGAGGTGGGCGGGGTAAGTGAGCGGTGACCTGGCCGAGAACCGGTTTGGGGGCGTGACCAGCCAATGTTATTACCGGTTCTCCGAACTACTACAAATTCTTACTACCAGTTCTTGTGAACCGGTGCAAACCGGGAGCAACCCACCACTGGTTGAGCACCTCAGAGCCATTATCTGATCTTCTACTAATGGTACTTACACAGGCTTGGCGTTGAGGAAACTCTGCTGACTCAGCATTCGATTCTCTTCCCTGTGTGTGGGGGCGGGGAGAGAGAAAGGGGGGGGGGCGAATTAAGAGGCATATGTGACCAGGTTTAAATTACTGTTCTTCAGGCACCTTATGCAAAGATCTAGCTCTCTGGAAAAGGCCCTAATGTTGGGAAATGTGAAAGGAAAGAAAATGTCAACTAGCAGTGGATAGATCGTTACAGCAGTGAAGAGTTCACTGTTGAAAGAGTTGGAGAAGCAGCAGTGGTGGTATCCAGCTGGTTCTGTCCGGTTCGGGCGAACCGTAGCAGCGGCTGCAGTAGGCCACGCCCACCCGCCTGGATGTAATGCTGTCCTATTTCACCACGTTTTGGAGGCCGCGCGAGAGCAAAGAGCACGGGCAGAAGGCCGAGCATGCGTGGAAGGTGGCACGTGCCAGCGAAGTGAGTGCGTGCGCTCACATTTGCGAACCGGTAGGAAGGTAAGTGAATCCCACCTCTGAGAAGCAGGATAGGGACAGATCATTGTGGAGAAAATCTATCGAGCAGTATGTGGTACTTGAAGTCCACATAACAAATGGCGCATCATCCATGCATCCATCCATCTATCCACCATCCGTGCACCCATCCATTTATCCAACCAACCAACCAACCAACCAACCAACCAATCAAGCATCCATCCATCCATCCATCCATCCATCCATCCATCCATCCATCCATCTGTTGTGGCCCCGCCCTCTGAGCCTGTCCCATCGGAGGAAGAAAGCTCCGAGCATGAGGAAGAGGAGTCAGCCAGGCCTCCCTCTCCAGGCCCCTCCTCTCTGGCACTGTCTCAGGTGCCGGCCGAGAGAGAGGAGATTAGCCAGGAGCCAGGTGTCTCGGATGAGAGCGAGGGAGAGACATCATTCCTGGACGCACGCCTCCGAAGGCGTGATAAACGATTGCAGCAGCTCAGGAGGCGTGCTAGGGATTAGAACTGAGTCACTGGACCACACCCCAGAGACTATATAATAGAGGGTGGTGGCTAGTGATCCTTGTGACGAACAAAAGTAAACCTTGGATAGTCACTAAGGCCTCGTCTGGAAACTGCTGAGAGGAATGTTATTCTGATTGAACTTTTGTACACTAAGTATCTTATCTTTCTGTTTTGTGGAAATAAATGCACTTGGCAGACGGTGTGTAAATCGCTGCCAAGTTGGAGATAAAGACCTGGGTGTGTACCAAAGTGTTTCCTTAACCCTCAGCTGGCTGTGTTTGTGTGTGTATGTGAACGGGGACAGATCACCATCCACCCATTTTCCATCCATCCACTCATCTACCCTCTGATCCACCCACTCACCCACTCATTCATCCATCCCTCCACCTATCTCTTATCCCTCCACCTATCTCTCCATCTATCCATCCATCCATCCCCCATCCATCCATCCATCCATCCATTCATCTCTCCTATCCATCCATCCCTCCCATCCATTCATCCATCCCTCCATCCCTCCACCCATCCCCTATCCCTCACCTATCTCTCCACCTATCCATCTATCCATCCATCCATCCCTCCACCTATCTCTCCACCTATCCATCCATCCATCCATCCCCCATCCATTCATCCACCTATCCCCTATCCCTCCACCATCTATCCATCCATCCATCCCTCCACCTATCCCTCCCTCCCTCCCTCCCTCCCTCTCTCCATCCATCCACCCACCCAACTATATCCTTGACTTAGCCAGTCACAAGTTGTTCAAGTATGATTAGGGACAGCACCATGGGTTACAGAACACCTAAGTCCAGTTAGAGTTTTCAGATGAGCTAAGCATCTCCTCCAGCGATGGGCAGGAAGAGCTTGAAATGGAAACGCCTTGTACTTATATCCTTGTACTTACCCAGGTAGAATGTTTTGAGTACTTAATCTCTGTTGACTTCCAATCTGGCTTTCTATCCTATGAAAGAGGTGAGAGAAAGATGGATTTTCAGAGATGTGCCTTCAAAAGAAATCCCTCCCCCCTTCTTCTTGCTGAGAGCAAATGCACCAAGACAAATTCCTTTGTGTCCAATGACACTTGGCCAATAAAAAATTCTATTCTGTTCTATTCTATTCTATTCTACTCTACTCTACTCTACTCTACTCTACTCTACTCTACTCTACTCTACTCTACTCTACTCTACTCTACTCTACTCTACTCTACTCTACTCTACTCTATTCTATTCTATTCATCCTTTCCCAAGAATCTCCCTTGAGCCGGTCTGCTTGTACAGACAAGACCAAAAATCCAGGTAAGGGTTACAACAGTTCCTTTAGTGGCAGAGGTGGCGCAGTGGTTAGAGTCCAGTACTGCAAGCTACTTCAGCTGACTGCTAGCTGCAGATCGGCAGTTCAAATCTCACTGGCTCAAATTTGACTCAGACCTTCCATCCTTCCGAGATGGGTAAAATGAGGACCCAGATTGTTGGGGGCAATTTTACTGACTCTGTAAACTGCTTAGAGAGGGCTAAAGAAGCACGACAAAGTGGTGTATATAAATGCTATTGCTATTGCTAGTGACCATTCGAAGTTACATCCACACATAATGAAGGATTATAAATTGAACGAGCAAATAATGGAAGATTTTAATTTAACACAAGTCATACTGCATTTCTGGAATTTCGTTATATGCCTTCCTTGGATTTATTATGGACTGGACTTGACAATTCTTTGGCTTTGTGAACTTACTTTGGTTTATCCGACGGAGGAGGAAAACCTCCCTTTGTAAGTAAAGTTTTTGGCAAGCAGCTACTGGGTTGCTGCCAATGCTGTTATCTCAAAGAAATTCCTGACTTTATTAACTCCTGGCTGACTGTTTGTGTGTGTGTGTGAGACGGGGACAGAACAGTTATGCGATCACCTTTTGTGACCTTCTGACATGCAAATTCAATGGGAAATGAGGTTTATTTCCTCCCCCCCCCCCCAAAAAAATGAAATCCTGGTATGTTTACGTGCCATAGTTCAGATCTGGAACTTACTTGGCTTGAGATACCTCCGCACTTCCCAGCTCTGTAGCACGTGCAGGCCTTAGGAGAAGAGAAAACACAAATATATACATGGACACACACGGACACAAACACACATAGAATGAAAAACTCTGTTTGTTTGTTTGTTTGTTTGTTTGTTTGTATCCCAGCTTTATTGTCTTTACAAATAACTTCAAGGTGGCAAATACATCTAGTATTTGCTCCTCCTCCTATTTTCCCCACAACAACAACCCTGTGAGGTGGGTTGGGCTGAGAAAGAGAGTGATTGGCCCAAAGTCACCCAATTGGCTTTCATGGATAAGGCAGGATTAGAACTCCCCATCTCCTGGTGATTGGCCCAAAGTCACCTAATTGGCTTTTATGGATGAGGCGAAACTAGGGGTGAAATCCAGCAGGTTCTGACAGGTTCTGGAGAACCGATAGCGGAAATTTTGAGTCGTTCAGAGAACCGGCAAATGCCACCTCTGGCTGGTCTCAGAGTGGAGAGGGAATGGGGATTTTACAGTATCCTTTCCCTGGAGTGGGGTGGGAATGGAGATTTTGCAGTATCCTTCCATGCCCAACAAGCCACGCCCACCAAGCCACACCACACCCACCAAGCCTCACCCACAGGACTGGTAGTAAAAAAATTCGAATTTCACCACTGGGCAGAATAGAACACAGTATCTCCTGGTGATTGGGCCAAAGTCACCCAATTGGAAACCTCCAATGTTGGAGCATCCACAACTTCTGGTGGCAAGCTGTTCCACTGGTTAATTGTCGTCACTATTAGGAAGTTTCTCCTCAATTCCAGGGTTTTTTCTCTCCTTGATTAGTTTCCAATCCATTGCTTCTTGTCCTGCCTTCTAGTGCTTTGGAAAATAAGTTGACCCCCTCCTCTTTGTGGCAGCCCCTCAAATACTGGAATCCTGCTATCATGTCCCCCCTACTTCTCCTTTTCTCTAGATTGGCCATACCCAAATCCTGCAACCCTTCTTCATATGTTGGTTTTTTTGGGGGGGGGACTCCAGGCCCTTAATCATCTTAGTTGCTCTTCTTTCTTACAAAAAAAAAAAAAGTTACAAAGAAGTTACACTAGGTCTCCATGGGAAAAAAGAGAAATGTTACCTTTTAACACGGCCCACAGTTCGGTAAAGCATCAGCGACACAATGAAGGCAAAGCCAGTGCCACTGGAAACAATGATTCCTAACAAGGCTAACGGAGACATAGTGCGTCGCTCCACGGCGTAGTAACTTCTGTCTGGCAAGAGAGAGAAAAGCCGTGAAGAACTTGGAAAGGGAGCATTCCAGGGGTGGGTTGCTCCCGGTTCGTCCCAAACCGGGGCAAAACGGTATTAGCGGCGGCGGGAGGCTCCACCTACCCACCCAGACGTCATCAAATACACTCTGTGCCTGCGCAAACCCGTAGTGCCAGGATTTGAAACTCACTACTGGAGCATTCTTGTTGGAGTTGCATTAGACCAGGGGTGTCAAGGCCGGATCTGGCCTGTGATGTGGTTGGATCTGGCCCGCGGAGCCATCGTGGAAAATGTAAGGGGCCGGTCCACGAGGCTTCGGCCTGGTCTACCCAATGAAAAGAGGAAACTTGCCAGCAGTTTGGGAAGTGGCATCAAGTTGGTCATACCCACTCATCTGGCAATGACCACCCAGTCAGCCACGCCCAGTGAGTGGCGCCAAGCTGGCCATGTCCAACCAGTCAGCCACGCCCACCTGCCCCCCCCCCGCCCTGAGGTCAACCACAGCCCCAATGTGGCCCTCAGTGAAACTGAGTTTGACACCCCTGGATTAGACCTTAAAAGGATTTCTCGCCAACTTTAAGGCGTGTCAAAGTGCATACCTCTTCAAGCTGCCAAGGTTGAGAAACAGAAAACTGGCTTTCCGCTTGGCATGGCATAATAGTCTAGGTCCATGCTGGTTGGGGAATTCTGGGAGTTGAAGTCCATCTATCTCGAAGGGTCAAGGTTGAGAAACAATCCTAGCCGGAGAATTCTGGGAGTTGTAGTCTACCCATCTTAAAGGGCCAAATTGAGAAACACTGCCTACAGCAGAAGTGGGGAACTATGACCCCTTTTATGACTTGAAGACTTTAACTCGTGGTCCTCTTTTGCGACGTTCTGATGAGGAAGACCGATTGACTCAACAACTGTGCTGCTAACTTAACAACCGCAGGCAACCTCGCTTAGCCACCGAGGCAAGAAAGGTCGTAAAATGGAGCCAAGCTCACTTATCAAATGTCTCACTTAACAACAGAAATTGGGGGTTCACTTGTGGGTCGCAAGTTGAGGACATCTTGTATTTGAAAGAAAGCACGGTGAGATGGTAAACTGCCCGAATTACATTTCACTACCATACGCGTTTTGTTAGAACAAGTAAGCCGAAAGCGGTAATAGCAATTACCTCTGACTATTAAGGTCGCAGTTCCCACTTCGGATCGGTTAACAGTATTTTTATACACAGCGTAGAAGTCGGAGTCAGTGACTATAACATCTCTGATAAGAAGCGTACAATCTGGCCTGATGCGTTCACGGTGGCGGGAAGCCGGGCCGTAGACCACAGAATTTTTCTTGGGATGATAAGCTAAGATCTCGAAAAAGTTATTTGTCTCCCCTCGGTACCAGTGGCAGGCCAGGATGTTAGTCTTCATTCCTGATGGAGATAATGCCACGTCCCATCCGATGTCGGGATCGTCAGGATCTACCCTCACGTCAATGGTGACATTTTCAGCTGCTGCAGCCAATTGGAAGCCAGGTGGTTTCAGGACGTGACCTGGAGAGTTGGGAAGGAGGAAAAACACCGAAGAGACCCCCTTCGAGAAGACGTCAGAGCAGCATTTGGAGAAGGGAAGCTGTGTACAATAGCAATTAGCGCTTAGACTTATATACCACTAGAGTGCAGTGCTGTAGGCTAATTCTGCTGACTGCCGACTGCCTGCAGTTCAGCAGTTCGAATCTCACCATGCTCAAGGTTGACTCAGCCTTCCATCTTCCAAGGTCGGTAAATGAGGACCTCAATTGTTCGGGGCAGTTATGCTGGCTCTGTAAACTGCTTAGAGAGGGCTGTAAAGTACTGTAAAGTGGTATATAAGTCTAAGTGCTATTGCCCTTCCTTCCTTCCTTCCTTCCTTCCTTCCCTTCCTTCCTCCCTCCCTCCCTCCCTCCCTCCCTCCCTCCTTCCATTCCATGGTGCGCAGTGGTTAGAATGCAACATTGCAGGCTAACTCTGCTGACTGCCAGCAGTTCGATCCTGACCGGCTCAAGGTTGACTCAGCCTTCCGTCCTTCCAAGATCGGTAAAATGAGGACCCAGATTGTTGGGGGCAAAAGACTGACTCAGTAAACCGCTTAGAGAGGGCTAGAAAGTCCACCCATCTTAAAGGGCCAAGATTGAGAAACAATGCTGGCTGGGGAATTCTGGGCGTTGGAGCCATCGTGTGTACGGTGTATGTGTACGGTCTCAACCAAGAATACACAACGTAAAGATAACCATCATAGTAAACAGTAAATAGTGCAAGATTGGAAGTTGTGGAGAGACCTGACCCATAGAATCGCCAAGCATTGGACACGACTGAATGGATAATCTCCTCATCATCTATCATAATGCCACCCACCATCTCAGAAAGGCAATCATAGCTTAATTGAAAAAGCACCGAACTAGGATTTTCAGTTGGTTCCCCTGGATCAAGGCTCTCCAAGGCTTGACAACTTTAGGACTTGTGGCCTTCAACTCCCAGAATTCCTATGGCTGGCTGAGAAATTCTGGAGTTGAAGTCCACAAGCCTTCAAAGTTGCCAAGTTTGGAGAGCCCTTATCCAGGAGAACCGACTGTCCATCTTCCATCTCAGCATTAAAAATGCACAAAAGTCCTCCAGTGTCTCTTTTGAGAATGAGATGGGTTGGCACATTCATTCAATAAAGGAATACATAAATACCTCTCGGTGAACCTCATTTCAACCCCAACTGCTCGTTTCTTACTTGTGAAAAGTAGAATAAGCCAGTAACAGTGACACATTGAAAGGGTCCTCAGGGCCTGGCAGCAGGCAGCTGTTATTCCTGCCATACTTGGTGATGGACATCCTGAACTTATATCTTGGTGCCCATCTGGAGGATCGTGTTCCATGTTCTTCCCCCACGCCAGAGTTTCCTCCCACTAGGACTGGGAGGCTTCACTGCCAGGCCCACTGCCCTAAGCCATTGTGAACTCACAGCCAAAGGTCACAAAGCAAAACTTGAGATAGAGATCCTGGTGAGGTGGGCCATTGAGAGTCATCCAAGGAACCCTTCTTCAAAAATGATATTTCTGCCGGAGAACATGCCGACTGCCTACCTGTGTGCCAAGAGACGTCGCTGCAGGAATTAGGAACTATACTGATCCTACTAAAAGACCTCTCCCCTTCCTTCTGCCCACTCTCCCAAAAGTCACTGACAGCTGGTTTTAGATGGTCAATGCTAAGGAGAGCATAGCAGAAAGCTGGAGGATCTGAAGTTCTTAACATCTTCTCTGTAGCGTTCCAGAAAAAAACCCCAACTCCAAGTAAGGACTCTGAAGCAAGCATTTTTCAAAGTTCTATTTACTAGAATAGGTAAACTGGCACATCTGGGAAAACCAGAATCTGAGAGGTCCGGATTTTCCCTCAGTAAATCAAACCCCCCCAAACCATCCCCTCACTCCTCAGTTGATCACATACTCCAATCAACCACCATCCCATCCCGAGACCTCACTCCGACCTCTCCTTCTCCAGATGCAGGATCGGCCTGACTTTGACTGACAGGAAGAATGCTATTATGTCTACAGACAACCCCTCTACTAAATCCCCCCTCCTACTTTCCCACATATTTGAAGGTGGCAGCATGGAAGCTTCCGGCCTAATATGGCTTCCAAAGCTGATGTTCTCAGTTGCTCCTTGAATAAATTTATGGTAGCAAGGCTTCTGATGGGGGAGGGGTATCCAGTTTTCAAGTCAGCATGGACAGCCATGGAATTGATCCTCCCTCCTCTCCAAATTTGGCATTTTATTAATCAAGGTACCCCCCCAAAATGCTCTTTCTGGGCTCATAAGGTTGTCCACATTCATCAGAATGTTTCATGGACTCTAGATTCTTAGTACAGCTCAAAAAGAACACTATTGGCATAATCTAATTGCCTTCGGCCATCCATTTTGGCACAAAGATCCAGGTTAAGATGAGAAAGGATTAGATTAGAGGTATCCAACCACAGTCACCATGTGCTTTACTGCTCAACTATATAACTGTAATAGGAAATAGGAAACTCTACTTAGAACAAAAGTGCATTGAGTATATACCATAGATCCAAACTAGTAAATACTGCCATCTACTGGCTGAATACTTCTGTAGTTGTTGCAATAGAGAATACATGCCAACATGTGTTTTATAATACAATAATACATGGGCAAACAATAGATACAAACTCAAGATACAAACTACTACTGGTTCTGTGGGCGTGGCTTGGTGGGGGGAGGGTAATGTGACTGGGTGGGCGTGGCCAACTTTTTTTTTTTTTTTACTTTTTAAAGCATTTTTTTACAACCTATTCGGCTGAATAGGTTGTAAAAAAATGCTTTTAAAAGGTTAAAAAAAAAGGCTCCGACGATCACAGCTATGGCACACAATCTTCAGAGCCTTTTTAAAAACCTTTTAAAAGCAGGAAGTAATGACACCCGAGCCTTGCACCGCCATTGCTACTGGTTCTCCGAACCACCTGCCACAATCGCTACCGGATCGCCCGATCTGTTCCGAACCGGGATCATTTCACCCCTGTTCCACAGGCATCCTGAACCCTGGATATTTAAAGTAATGGTCAAAAATTAACAATCTCAGGAGTAGACACTGCAATGGTTTAATTTTTTCAGTGCATAAGAGTGTCGGTGTTCTTTTCAGATCGTAGTGGGATCAGAGGAGCTGTGGGAATTTGCTGTCAATTGTTGGGCGCAGGGAGGGATAGATAAAAATTTGCAAGTCGAAGAGTGTTTTTTTTTTTTCGTGTTGAAGAAAAGGGATCCATTTTTGTTCTTGAAGGCTCGATGCAATCTGTTCTTTTTACCTGAAAGAGAGTCAATCTCAAATCACACACACAGCAGCCAAAAATGAAATATAATGTAGCCCGTGACATACGACCACAATTGAGCCCAAATTTCTGTTGCTAAGTGAGACAGCTGTTAAATGAATTCGACCCCGTTTTATCACCTTTCTTGACATATTTATTAAGTATTTATCACCGTGGTTGTTAAAATTTAGCAACACAGCGGTTAACGTGGCTTGTTAACCGCTGTGGTGGATTCTAACCAGCTTTACTACCGGTTCTTTTCGTGTACACGCTTTGCGCGTGATCGCGTTGGGAATCTCTGCCCAGCTGAGGTGCGGCAATCCACTCTGCCACACCTATCAGTTGGGCTAAAAAAGAAGAAATAAACGGTAAGAATAACGCGGGGGCGGGCGGGAGGGCCCAGCTCCCAGACAAAGAGAACCGGTTCGGTGACGTCATATCGTCACCGCTACCGGCTCGGCCGAACCGGGCTGAACCGGGAGGAACCCACCACTGCACTGCAACTGTCATAAATAGGAGTCAATTGCCAAGCATCTGAATTCTGGTCACGTGTCCATGGGGAATGCTACAATGGCCGTAAGTATGAGAAGTCACTTTTTCCAGTGCTTTGAACCGTCACTAAACAAACTGTCGTAGGTCGAGCACACACTGTCCCTGTGGGTCATGTGATTGTGATCTTGGCTATGTTGTGAATGTACAAACGGTTGTGTGGTCGTGCGATCGCCGTTTGCAACCTTCAGAGCTGGCTTCGGCAAACAAGCAAACTCAATGGAGAAGCCAGCCGGGAAAGTCACAAATCACAATGCTGTGAATGTCTCGCTTAACAACTGCAACAAAAAAAAAGGTCATTAAAATCAGGAAGGGACAGGTGATGCTGTACACAATGACCGCACAGCTTAATGACAAATGTTCCACTCTTTATTTTGATTGTAATTCAAGAACTGCCTGTAATCTCATAGCCCATTAAATCAGATTATTCCATCATGTATTCTAGGTTTGCTTCAAAAGTGGTATTTTTCTGCCTCTGCTGGTAGAAACAGGAGTTCAGCTCACCTGCTGCACTTTATACCATCTTACACAAATGCCTCCATTCCATATGGCTATTTATTTATTTATTTATTTATTTATTTATTTATTTGTTCAATTTATATGCCGCCCTCCTCCGAAGACTCAGGGTGGCTTACAATGCACTTATAGTAATAGCCTTCATTCTTCTGTATATACCTGCTTATTAGGGCTTTTTGGCCCCCCCCCATAAGGCGTGTTTCTACAAAGTCAGCTTATTGCCCCCCCAATCCGGGTCCTCATTTTACCTACCTCGGAAGGATGGAAGGCTGAGTCAACCTTGAGCCTGGTGAGATTTGAACTCGCACTAATTGCAGGCAGCTGGCAGCTAAGTGCTATATAACAGCACTTAGTCCGCTGCACCACCAAGGCTCTTGTTGGAGACAGACTGGCTGAGCCAGAGGGAGGAGTCAAGCAGGGAATTAGTCTGGAATTTTTAGGGAGGCGCAAACAGCCAAAGTCCAACCTCCCCTTGAATCAGTGGTGGGTTGCCCCCGGTTCGGACCGGTTCTATAGAACCGGTAGTAAAACCGGTGGGAGGTTCCGCCCACTGACCCTGACATCATCAGAAGCGATCTGCGCATACGCAGAAGCTTCTGAGCATGTGCAGAAGTAAGCCGCGTGCGTGAGCGAAGCAAGCAAGCGCACGCAATTCCGTTGCCAACTGGTAGTAAAGATAAGTAGAACCCACCCGTGCCTTGAATGCCATTTGAACCTTATCTAATTGAACTCTTCACATGTGGATCCATAATAGAATAACAGAGTTGGAAGGGATCTTGGAGGTCTTCTAGTCTAACCCCCTGCTCAGGCAGGGAACTCTATACAATTTCAGACAAAATGGTTGTCCAAACTCTTGTTAAAAGCTCCAGTGTTGGAGCACTCACAGCTTCCAGAGGCATTGATTAATTGTTCTAATTGTCAGGAAAGTTTTTTCCTTAGTTCTAGGTTGCTTCTCTCCTTGACTGATTTCCATCCATTGCTTCTTAGTAATTCTCAGCTGTTATAATAAAATATTTTTGTTTGGGATTAATTGCGTCTTATAATGACTAAGTGAGCCTAGGTCACAACAGTAGGTGAACTGTCAGCAACGTTTAGCAAAGGCCTGGTTAACCAGGTAGCATTAAGGAGCCATGGTGGTGCAGTGGTTAGAATGCAGTATTGCAGGCTAATTCTGCCGACTGCCAGCAGTTCGATCCTGACCGAATCAAGGTTGACTCAGCCTTCCAATCTTCCGAAGTGGGTCAAATGAAGACCCAGATTCTTGGAGCAAGATGTAGACTCTGTGAAACGCTTAGAGACGGCTGTAAAAGCCCTGCGAAGCGGTATATAAGTCTTAAGTGCTATGATTATTGCATGAACATGTGTTTATGTTTGTTTTATTAAATTTGTATACCGCCCTACTCCCGAAGGACTCAGGGCAGTGAACAGGCACAGGATAAAATACAGAAGTACAAAAGTTAGAAACAATTTAAAACCAAATTAAATAATTTAGCCCACGACAATTTAAAATCCCAATAATTTAAAAACAAATTAAAATTTCAGTTTAAAAATTTAAAAGAAAGGAGAGAAAAATTAGGCCAGGTGATGTGATGTTTTCCACAGAGTGGGAATTCACAGATTGTTTTTAAGTCTTCCTTTCCTGGGTCTCTTACTTACCGTCCTCTCCTGGGGGCACCTCTTGCTCCACCTCTGCCTCTGCCTCTACCTCTCACCCCTCGCTGTGCGGTACCTCCACGAGTCGTCTTACGCTTGGGAGCTGTTGTTTTCCTAAAGACACACACACACACACACACACACACACACACACACAAATGAGCATGGCTCTGAACACTAAGTTGTCAACAGAGATCGTGCAATGGAGTTATCTTGGCCCTTAGTTTTAAACTAAAACTACATACCGGTAGACTTATGACAACAATTGAGCCCCAGATTTCTGTTGCTAAAAGAGATAGTTATTAAGGGAATTTTGTCCCTTCTGAAATGTTTGCCATGCTCCTTTTTCTTCTGGGGGTTCAGCTGCCTCTTATCTGACTATGGCTTAGTCCGGTGATGGTGAACCTATGGCATGCGTGCCCGAGATGGCACACAAAGCCCTCTATGTGGGCATGCATGCCATTGCCAGCTGCTCTTCTGGTTTATGGCGCCGGCCAGCTGGACTTCGTGGGTGCCGGAGCACTGGAAAATGGCCTGAAAAATGACCAAAAAACAGGCTGTTTTTTGGGCTGTTTTTTGGGCCGTTATTTGGGCTGTTTTCAGGATGTTTTTTGGGATGTTTTCCGGCCATATTTGGCCTGAAAAATGGCCTGAAAATGGCCTGAAAACAGCCTGAAAACAACCAAAAATTGGCCTGTAAACAGCCTGTAAATGGTCTGGAAAATGGCCTGAAAATGGCCTGAAAACAGCTTGACAAACAGCCAAAAAACAGGCATGCGTGCACGCATGCATTCCGGCCACCTGGTCAGATGCACGCGTGTTTCAGTTCGGGCACTCGGTGCTGAAAAGGTTTGCTATCACTGGCCTAGTCTGTGGCTCTTCCTTCTCTCTCCCAAGGTTATTCTCACATACCATTATACCAGTGATGGCTAACCTTTTTGCCATCACGTGCCAGGAAGGGGGGGGTCAGGGGAGGTTCACGTACATGTGTGCCACACCCATAATTCTATGCGCCCCACCCCGTGCATGCGCGTGTGACCCCTCCCTGCCCCCCCCCCACTATTGGCACGTGATGGCCCTTTTTTCTTTCTCACCAGGCTCCAGATCCTCTCTATGCATCTGGGGAGGGCGAAAACAGCCTTCCCCACCCCCTCGGAGGCCCGAAACGGCCCATTTCCCAACTTCCAGTTGGACAGGAAGTGATGTCTTTTGCTGTCCCCAGCCTCCAGAGACTCCCGGAGCTAAGCTGGAGTGCCAGGCGACATGGCTCCACGTGCCACCTGTGGCACGCGTGCCATAGGTTCGCCATCACGGCATTATACCAACTTAGATGGGATAGAATAGTAAATAATTGAAGGACATTTATTAAGTTCTTTAGTTGAAATTACACCGTCGGTATCCCTGGATGACAATTTACTGCCAACCCTGAAAGGAGGACCCAGGACTTCTGAAGTACCGTCTTCTTCTCTGCTATTTCCAAAGTCCAATGACCAATTATACTCCCCCTCTTCCAGGGGTGGGCTCAAAAAATTATAACAAGGGGTTCTCTGCCTGGTTGTTGAGTGGGTATGGCCATGGTGGGCATGGCTTAGACAGCCCCCTGCAGCATGACAGGGGGGGTTGCCCTCCCCAGGCTCCTGAGGCCCTCTGGAGGCCAGAAATGGGCCTGTTTCCGGCCTTCTCGAACTTCTGGTAGGCCCGTTTTTCACCCTTCGCAAGCCTCCGTGCATGCCTTGTACTTAACCTGCATCCAAAATGGGTCATGTGGGGACTCTTGGGAGGGGTGGGCAGGGTGCGGCAGGGCGGGGCCAGTAAGAAGTGCACAGAATCTTAGCGAGAGATTCTCCCAAACCCCTGCGAACCCCCAGATGCCCACTCCTGCCCTCGTCCTGTTCCTGTCAGAGGGACCTTTGAAGGTGCTTCCGAGTTGAAATGATTAGCTAGTGACATCACCCAGGGGATACCCGTGGGAGTGCCTTTTCACGTCTCCATCAAGGAGCTGAAGCTAATAACAGGCACTCACCCCCTCCAGGCAGCAGCACTCAAGTCTCGAACACGGGCTTGTTAACCTCCAACTCGGCATCCTAAACACATGAGCCACCCTGCTCCTTATGACCAATGCTATTTGGTGTAAACAAGGAAGGGCATTCAAGGATCATTTAATTGGATGACAACTTACTTTGCTACTTGCGTTGATGCTGGTATCGGTGCCGGGGCTGGAGCTGGAGCTGCAACCGGTGCTACCGCCGCCGCGCTGGTGGTCGGGGCAGGTTGAGAAATACTACTGAAGAATCAGAAAAAAAACAAATATCGTGAGAATTGCTTTGAATTCAACAAGCTGTGTTTTGCTTTCCTGCGCTTGCGTCTAAGGCAGAGGTGGGGAACGATGGGAATGAGAAGACTGGGCACAGCCAATTGGCTGCCACCAATTCGCCATGGCCAACTCACTGCGGGACATTTTGCCATGGCCAGCTCAACATACGGTAATTCGCTCTGGGACAATTTAACAATTCTATTGAATGATTTAAAGTAAATAAAAAAACATATTTTCATTTTTGCCGTTCATATTTCGTTCTATCCCTACTTTTGTATCCTTCCTTTAATTATTCTATTCCAACATTTCTTTGACAGTAGTGTAACTCTTGACCCCAGTGAATCAGAGGAAGGTTTCAGCAGGTTCTGACCAATTCTGGAGAACCGGTAGCGGAAATTTTGAATAGTTCAGAGAACTGGTAAATACTACCTCTGACTGGCCCCGCCCCCCATCTATTCTCTGCCTCCCGAGTCCCAGCTGATCGGGAGGAAATGGGGATTTTGCAGTAAACTTCCCCTGGAGTTTTAAAGGAGTCTAAACAAGGGGGGGAGGGGTTTCAAAAAATTTTGCAAGGGGTTCTCTGCCCAGTTGCTGGGTGGGTGTGGCCTAGTTGCCATCCTGCACCATGGGGGGAGGGCTGTTTTTGCCCTCCCCAGGCTCTGGAGGCTTTCCTCGAGCCTCCGGGAGGGAAAAACGGCCTCCTGAGGCTCTGGAGGCCCTCTGGAGGCCAGAAACGGCCCCATTTCTAGCCTTCCCGAACCTCCGGTAGGCCAGTTTTTTGCCCTCCCTGAGCCTCCATGGGCACCCTGCACTTACCTGCATCCAAAACGGGCCGTGTGGGGACTCCTGGGAGGGGCAGGGCAGGGTGGGTGGGGCCAGCCAGGATTTGGGAAAGGGGTGAAATGATCCTGGTTTGGACCGGATCAGGTGATCCGGTAGCAATTGTGGGAGATGGTTCAGAGAACTGGTAGCGATGGCGGTACGAGGCTCCGCCCACCCGCTCGGGTGTCATTACTTCCTGGTTTTAACCAGGAAGTAATGTGTTTTTTACCCTCTGCACATGTGCAGAGGTCTGCGTGTGCATGTGAGCGTGAGCAAAGCGAGCTCACATGCACGGTGCATGCAGTTCCGAACCGGCAAGGAAGGTAAGTAGATTTCACTCCTGATTTGGAGGTTCTCCGAACTGCACAGAATCTTAGCTAGAGATTCTCCTGAACTCCTGCGAACCCCTAGCAGCCCACCCCTGAGTCTAAATATTACCTTCGAGAAGTGACGATCTGATAAGCAGTTAGGCCTACAAGCATTGAGACCACGAAAAATGACGACACTGCAATTCCTATGATGCCTGGTGTAGAAAGACGGTTTCCTTTCCTGCCAGTTAGTCCTTCAATAGAAGAGAATATATGTAGCTCAGGACTGAACTCTGGAGTTCTTGGTGCTCTCTGATCTTGGTATTTTTTTTCTGCAGATGTTTCATTACCGAACTAGGTAACCTTTTCAGTGCTAGAAGGAATGGGGTTCTCTCTTTATATGCAATAGTCTGCCCTACCAATATTTGGTCAGGATGTGATTTTCTTTCTTTCATAGTTCCTTGATGAGGATATTATTATCTGTTGGTCTGTTTGTCTGTTTGTCTGGTATTAATCCCTGCTTATCTGCTTATCTACACTTATTTTAGTGTTGAAGAGAATGTGTTCTTTTTTCTTCTCCTTAGCTTTTTTATTGTCTCTTTCGAATGATGTGTAAATGTAGTTTATCTCTATGTGTCTGTTGATGGCTAATGTGCAGAACTGCCATGCATCTAGGAATTCCTTAGCATTTTTGGATTTAGTTTGATCTAGTATGGTCATAGTATCCCCGTTGAAACTATGATGGAGTCTGTCTATGTGTGGTGAGATTGAGATTAAGGAAACAGAGTCAGTCCTTTTATGAAACAACAAACAATCAAAAGCCAATAATAACAAAAAATAGACAATAAATTAACTCATCCAGTAAAGGCTAAAGGAAATATAGCTCTTAAAAAATAAAATAAAATAAACTTTAAAGAAAAGGCACTGCATTCAAATACATCAATTCCATACCCATATGATTTACTATGAACAAATCAATAATCCTAAATTTACCACAGGGGAAAATTATTCTTTTTAATCAAGTAAAATTATAAGTATAGGACTTTAATTTTATACAGTTTTATCATTTGTATGAATTAAGATTGGCCATGACATTTTTAATTTCTATTTAGTCCATTTCAGGAATGAAATCTGAGTACCCATAACTAAGGTGTGGACTGTGAAGATGGCAAAATTTGCAGAAATGGCAAAATTGACCTATTTGATTTAAGGAGAAAAGAATAGGTAATGCTATAAAAGATTGGAAGCCTTTATGGACTTTTTGCTAAAAATGATTTAGTTAGCACTTTGACAAAAAATGAATTGGCAATTTCTGGATTTGTTAACTTAAAATTATTGAACATGGGAAGAAGGGATCTACATAATGGAATTATAAAGGGGGGAAATAATGAACATTTGTGTTATAAAGAAGAATGGAAGTGACGTCTTTACTTTTCTCTTTTCTTCTTTCTTTACCTGTAATGTTTCTGACATTTTTATCTCTTTCCTGTTTCCTCTTTATGTACTTTTTCTATTTAATGTTTTAATTATGCAAAAAACTTTCAATAAAACATACACACATATGAAATTAATCTGGGTATGTGGCAATGCCCCTCCTTCCTTCCTTTCCCTTTGCCATCTCTCCATCTCTCCCTTCTTCCCTTCCCACCTTCTTCTTCCTTCCTTCCTTCCCTCCCTCCCTCCTTCCTTCCTTCCTTTCCCTTTGCCATCTCTCCATCTCTCCCTTCTTCCTTCCTTCCTTCCTTGCCCTTCTGCCATCTCTCCATCTCTCCCTTCTTCCCTCCCACCTTCTCCTTCCTTCCTTCCTTCCTTCCTTCCTTCCTTCCTTCCTTCCTTCCTCCCTCCCTCCCTCCCTCCCTCCCTCCCTCCCTCCTTCCTTCCTTGCCCTTCTGCCATCTCTCTGTCTCTCCCTTCTTCCCTTTCCACCATCTCCTTCCTTCCTTCCCTCTCCCCAGCTCCACATGGGCAATGCCTTCACATGGGCAAAACATCTGGTGAGATGCATCTGAAAAAAAGGTGATTTGCACGTTCAAGGATGCCAACTGGACCTTTTCAACCCTCCCTATAGACAACCCTGTAGTGAACCAGATCTATATGCTGTCCGGCTTTATTCTACAGAAAAAGAAAGAGAAAGAGAGAGAGAAAGAGAGAAAGAGAAAGAAAGAAAGAGAGAGAGAGAGAGAAAAGAGAGAGAGAGAAAGAAAAAGTCAGAAAGAGAGAGAAAGAGAAGGAGAGAGAGAAAGAGAAAAAGAGAGAGAGAGAAAGAGAGAGAGAGAGAAAGAGAGGAAGAGAAAGAAAGAGAGAGAGAGAAAAAAGAGAAAGAAAAAGAGAAAGAGAGAGAAAGAAAAAGAAAAAGAAAAAGAAAGAGAGAAAGAGAAAGAAAGAGAGAGAGAAAGAAAAAGAGAAAGAAAAAGAAAGAGAGAAAGAGAAAGAAAGAGAGAGAAAAGAGAGAAAGAAAAAGAGAGAGAGAGAGAGAAAGAGAAAGAGAGAGAGAGAGAAAGAAAGAGAGAGAGAATAAGAGAGAGAGAGAATTACCCTGGAGACGCAGATACACTTTCCCCACGCTCTTTCCTTCGTTCTTCTCCATCACTCCTTTGTAGAAGCCCTCATCCTGAGTGGTCAGATTTTTGATGTGCAGGGAACAATCCGAGTTAAGGAATTCCCGTCCCGTGGAGCCATCTTTGAAGGCCAGCTTAGATAGAGGGGGTAGGCTATAGGTCACGATTGGTTTAGCCTCATCATCGCCCCCTCTAAACCAGCTGCAGGTGCTGAGGGTGTTGGTATCTCCACTCGGGATGAGGGTGACATGCCCTCCTATTTCAGGTTTCTCGGGGTCCAATGCAATATTAGTAGAAACTGTGGGAACCCCAGGAGAGATATGTTTTGTGGCAGGAGGGCGAAGAGAGGGAGGATGATGAGAGGGAGAAGGAGGGGGAGGGGGAGGAGGGGGGGAGGAGGGGTAGTGGGACGAGGACGAGGACGAGGACGACGGGTAGTGGGACGAGGACGACGGGTAGTGGGGGGAGGGGGACGGGTAGTGGGACGAGGACGACGGGTAGTGGGACGAGGACGACGGGTAGTGGGACGAGGACGACGGGTAGTGGGGGGAGGGGGACGGGTGGGGGACGGGTAGTGGGACGAGGACGACGGGTAGTGGGGGGACGGGGACGGGTAGTGGGGGGACGGGGACGGGTAGTGGGAGGAGGGGGAGGGGGGGGACGGGTAGTGGGAGGAGGGGGACGGGTGGTGGGAGGGGGACGACGGGTAGTGGGAGGGGGACGAGTTGGAACACGAGGAGTAATAGTTTTGATGGTACTTTTAGGAGGAGCTTCAACCCGGTGGAGGCAAGAATTCAAGACAGATGCTGAATGGAAAGGGGAAAAAAATCAATATTTAGTTCAGCAAGAATTTAACCTTGGCAAAGAATGGTAACTTTTGCAGCTTGATGACCGAAACTAAAGGAATATCTTCCAAGTTTAGGCTCCTTGAGGAAAGGAGTTAAAGAGGCAATTCTAGAAGGGTAAACTTCTTCTGGTACCATTATCTAAGGTACAAGTAAGGGTGTCCCTGTCCAGTCATATCCGACTCTAGGGGGCAATGCCAGCATTGTCCGAAGACATTTCTGTGGTCATGTGGCAAGCATGACTACATGCCGAGGGGGCACGGGACACTGTTAACCTTCTCACCAAAGTGGTACCTATTTATCTACTCACATTTGCATGCTTTTGAACTGCTAGGCGGGCAGGAACTGGAGCAAGTAACAGGAGCTCACCCCATCATGTGGCGCTCGGGTCTCAAACCCGGGCTGTCAGCTTTCCAGCTGACAAGTGCAGCATCTTTAAACCGCCGAGCATTGCTCCCGTTATGCACCATTATCTAAGAGCTTACAAGATATAGTTTGTACCGAAGCTGCTGTGAACCTCAGGCGAGCTCTTTTTTTTTTTTTTTTTTTTTAAATTTGATTTATATGCCGCCCTTCTCCGGAGACTCAGGGCGGCTTACAATGCGCTAAGCAATAGCCTTCATCCTTTTGTATATTTATACAAAGTCAGCTTATTGCCCCCACAAACTGGGTCCTCAATTTACCTACCTTAGAAAGGATGGAAGGCTGAGTCAACCTTGAGCCTGGCGAGATTTGATCTTACTTTAATTGCTGACAGCTGGTGTTAAATTACAGTGCGTTTGTCTGCAGAGCTATCCAGGCTCCTGGTTCCTTAACAGAAAGTTTGGCTTTCCAGTCCAGTTTAAGATCCATCCAATCCATCTTCATTTCCCCCAAACGAGGGGTGAAATCCAGACAGGTTCTGGAGAACCGGTTGCAGAAATTTTGAGCAGTTCGGAGAACCGGCAAATACCACCTCTGGCTGGCCCCGGAGTGGGGTGGGAACGGGGATTTTGCAGTATCCTTCCCCTGCCATGCCCACCAAGCCACACCCACTAAGCCACACCACGCCCACCAAGCCACGCCCACAGAACCGGTAGTAAAAAAAATTGGATTTCACCACTGCCCCGAGCCCATTCCTGGCTCAGCCCCAAACCTCATTCCTATGGAATATCTGTCTCTCACCTACTAAAAACCAAATCAACCAAGATTGTTTACATCCAGAGGTGGTAACAACTGTCAAGGGGTGTCTGGATGGTATTCCTGCCACTCTGGGGATGGATGAGTCTTAAGCATGGTAGGGAATTATTTTTCTGCACCACTGGAGGGCTGGAATGTCTCCATTTATTTCCCCCATCAGGTTCTCTGGACCCTAAACTGAGTCCACCTACAATTCACCCATCCCCAGTCTATCCTCTATAGTCTGGGGGCATTGGCAGGAATTCCCATCTACCTTTTCCAGGTAACAGGAAGAGGTCATAAAGCAAATACATGAGTCATGGTGGGTAAAGGCTATTGGAAAGGATCCCTTTGAAGCCAGCAAAATGATTAAAAAAAAAAAAGTCACCTCTCTGGATTAGGGGCTTTAAAATAAACTTTTCTTTATTTCTGTAGTCTTCCTCTTAGGACCACCATTGAGCCCAACGTTTCTCTGTGGAGTGAGACCGTTATTCAGTGAATTTGGCCCCATTGTATGGCCTTTCTGGCCACCATTGTTGATTTGGTAATGTGGCTGCTAAGTGAATCTGGCTTCCCCATTGATTTTGCTTCCTCCGAAAGTTGCAAAAGGGGATCATGTGACACACTGGTGGTGGGTTGCTCCCGGTTCGCAAGAACCGGCAGTAAAAATTTGTAGTAGTTCGGAGAACCGGTAATAACATTGGCTGGCCACGCCCCCAAACCGGTTCCAGCCCGGTCGCCGCTCGCTTACCCCACCCACCTCATCAGAGGCTTTTTTTTTTTTTACTTTTAAAAGCATTTTTCTACAACCTCTTCGACCGAAAAAATGCTTTTAAAAGTTAAAAAAAAAGCCTCTGAAGATTGTGCGGCTCAGCTGGGATCGTCAGAGGCTTTTAAAAGCATTTTTTCTACAACCTCTCGAAGAGGTTGTAGAAAAAATGCTTTTAAAAGCTTTGACAATCCCAGCTGATCTCAGCTGAAGAGGTTGTAGGAAAAAAATGCCTTTAAAAGCCTCTGACAATCCCAGCTGAGTTGCCTGATCGTCAGAGGCTTTTAAAAGCATATTTTTCTGCAACCTCTTAAGGTTGTAGAAAAAAATGCTTTTAAAAGCCTCTGACGATCCCAGCTGATCTCGGCTGAAGAGGTTGTAGGAAAAAAATGCCTTTAAAAGCCTCTGACGATCCCAGCTGAGTTGCCTGATCGTCGGAGGCTTTTAAAAGCATATTTTTCTGCAACCTCTTAAGGTTGTAGAAAAAATGCTTTTAAAAATAAAAAAAAAAAAAAAATGTTGGCCATACTCACCCAATCACATTACCCCACCACCAAGCCATGCCCACAAAATAAGCCACACCCACAGAACCGGTAGTAAAAAAATTTAGAACCCACCCCTGTGACACACACACACACACACCCAGGACACCACAGCCGTCATAAATATGAGTTGACAAGCATCTGAATTTGGATCATGTGACTCTGGGGATGATGCAGCGGTCATGACTGTGAACTAAGTCAAAAGTCATATTGTTCGGTACCGTTGTAACTTGGAAGAGTCACTAAATGAACTGTGTCGTAAGTCAAATAAAACGTAGTTTGGAGTAAAAGGTGGACCTTTCCTATGCAGTAAGAAGTAGACCTCAACTTATAACCTCAATTGAGCTCTAAATTTCTGTTGCTAAGCAAGACAGTGGTTAAGTAGTTTTGTCCCATCTTATGATCTTTCTAGCTATAGTTGTTACGTCAACCACTGTGGTTGTTTAGTTAGTAATACGGTCGTGAAATGAGCGTCTCTATTGAATTTTCTTGTCAGAAAAAGGTCACAAAAGTGGATCACGACACCGGGACACTGCAACTGTCATAAACACGAGCCAGTGTCGAGCCCACATTCTGCTCTGCTCACCATAAATATGAGTTGCCAAGCACCCGTTTTTTAAAAGAAGTTTTTTTATTAATAATTCAAATTTAAAAAACTATCGACATGGTTTTTGACATCTCCGGTTTCTAACATTTCCATCTAATTCAAATTAATAAGTACTATATTCGGGGGGGGGGTTCTACATTTTTTTATTACCGGGTCTGTGGGTGTGGCTTATTTTGTGGGCGTGGCTTGGGGGTGGTAATGTGACTGGGTGGGCGTGGCCAACTTTTTTTTTTTTTACCTTTAAAAACATTTTTTCTACAACCTTAAGCGGTTGCAGAAAAAACTGCTTTTAGAAGCCTCTGATGATCAGGCAACTCAGCTGGGATCGCCAGAGGCATTTTTTTCCCTACAACCTCTTCGGCCGAAGAGGTTGCAGAAAAAAATGCTTTTAAAAGCCTCTGACGATCCCAGCTGAACTTCACGATCATCGGAGGCTTTTTTCCTTAAAATTTAAAAGCATTTTTTTGGCTGAAGAGGTTGTAGAATAAATGCCCCCGAACCGCCCAGGGACCGGTTCGGGGGCGTGGCCAGCCAATGTTATTACCGGTTCTCCGAACTACTACAAATTTTTAGTACCGGTTCTTGCGAACCGGTGCGAACCGGGAGCAACTCACCACTGACTATATTCCTTAATTTATATACCAATTTACATATATCTTACTTCATTACAGGTCAAGCATACTACATAATTCCTCCTAAACAACTATATCCATATCCAATAAACCTATATCTCACTCACAAATTCAGTATACGTTGACATCCGATTTTTTGATCACATGACCATGATCATAACTGCGAAAAATGGTCCCTTAAGTCCCGTTTTTCAGTGACGTTGCAACTTTGATCAGTCACTAAGCGAGCATTTGTCTGTGGAGGACTACCCGTGATTCGTTATTTCCCACAATCCTGAGACTATGGGAGGTTAGGAGTAAAACTACAATGCAAAAAAGCACACACACCACAATTGTCGTACAGTCAGGACTTTATTCCATCATGACACAGGAAGCTATTTTGCTGCCCCTGGGATTTTAAAGGGTAAAATGCTGTTGCTTAAAGCATGCGCTAAGATGGCCTTGGTTTCCCAGATGGATGGAATTCTTGGATGGAAAGCTGCAAATTCCACGGTGCTGGTTGAATTCGAACCGTTTGGGGCGTTTTGTTTTTACCTGAGAAGAAGAACAAAAATCGGAGCACAACAATTACACATCTTGATTAAGACCAAAAACCAGAGGTGATTTAAAAAAAAAAAACCCTACTAGGGGTCAGAGGTGAAATCCAGCAGGTTCTGACAGGTTCTGGAAAACCGGTAGCGGAAATTTCGAGTAGTTTGGAGAACCAGCAAATACCACCTCTGGCTGGCACCAGAGTGGGGTGGGAATGGAGATTTTGCAGTAGCCTTCCCCTGCCACGCCCACCAAGCCACGCCCACCAAGCCACGCCCACCCTTCCCTTGCCACGCCCACCAAGCCACACCCACAGAACCAGTAGTAAAACAAATTTGGATTTTACCACTGCTAGGGGGCAACCTCACTTCAAATTTTCCTACCAATTGAGTGGGGAGAGTTTCTCAATCTGGCCACTTTAAGAGGGGTGGACTTCGACTCCCAGAATTCCCCAGCCAGCTGTTTTTTGACTCTGCAAAAAAACAGTCTTAAGTCACTTTTTTCAGTGCGGTTGTAACTTTGACTTGTCACCAAACGAATGGTTGTAAGTCCAGGACTACCTGTATTCCATTCTTAGTCAATGTATGTAGGTATTAAGAAAGATAATATTTCGAAGAACTCACCCATCAAATTTTATTTCCTTCTGCGTCCGGATTCTGATTGCTTGCTGTTGTTTGGTTTGCATCCTTATTCGCTGATCTACGGGAAAAATGGATTAGTGGGAGGTACAAACGAAACAGGAATTCCTTCAAATGAGCAGCGAGTTCTTTCTTTCCCTTTCTTCCTTTTTCCCAATATTTCTCGTTTTTCTCCAGGCCTCCTTGAGATAGTCTGTGTTCTAACCCAGCTCCTCAAACATGATAAACCTTCTGAAGTGAACCCAAAGATTCCTGTATTAGGAGCCCAGCAGCCCCGGCAAAAAGTTTCTCTCTCACCGCTGGCTAACAAGTCCGGCTGGCAGGGAGATAAATAGTTGTCTGCCACATCTATTCAACTCCACCCCCTGCCTTTTATCCCCAGAGATAGGATGGGGCTTCGCTAGCAGCAGTGGCTCTTCCATCCCGAGGACCAGCCCATAGATTTCCACTGCTCTCCTCTCCTCTGCCTTCTGTGCATCCGCGCGTCAGGCACTGGACCCAGCTGTTCCTCCTCCTCATCATCAGCCACCTCCAGACCTGGGGGCTGTTGACTCTCCATCTGAGGGCTACGGATGGCCTAGGCTCCTCCTCTGTCTCTCTCTCTTTCTGACAGCTCCATTCCCTCTTCCTCCTCAGAGCTCTCAGGTTGCCCTGATGCTGATCCTGACTACGATGCCATCTGATTCGGCTGCTGAAGGGGCCGGCGGCCGACAGGCCACAACCGTCTGAAGTACAGTTGAGTTGTTAAGAGTACAGGTAGATCTCGACTTACGACCACAATCGAGCCCAGAATATGTGTTGCTAAGTGGGAAATGTGTTTGGTAACTTTTGCCCCATTGTAAGACTTGTCTTGCCCCGTGGGGTTAAGTGAATCAGTGCAATTGTTAGTAATTACTAATTACTAACATTTACTACCGTTGCGAACCGGTAGTAAAGGTAAGTAGAACCCACCCCTGCACTGAAAGGATGGGTGGCAAATATCTCCTGATATGAGAACATTTGTTAGTGCTAATTGGGGTCTGGTTTAAAGAGATTCAACCTGGAAATAATTTTCTGCCAGAGAACAATCCACTGATGGAACAGAAGTTGCCTTCAGAAGTTGTGGAAGCTTCATCACTGGAGGCTTTCAAGAAGAGCTTGGACTGCCCTCTGTCAAAAATGGTGTAGGGTCTCCTGCTTGGGTTTCGAGGTTGGACTAGATGACCTACAAGGTCCCTCCCACTCCCCTCTGTTATTCTATTTCTTTGTGAACTCCAAACAACCTTTTTTTCCCCCCTTAAATTTTACGCCCCTTCTGATGTCAGATCTCATTTTAATAAACATGTGTGATATTTTGGGATGCAAATACGTAACATGTTCGACTACACGTAACTGATTTCCTATGCAAAGGGTTCTGGCCAATCACTTTTCCTTTTGCATTTTTCTTTGATGTCTTAACCCTACAGAGGAATGAAAGATGGGTCTCGGGGTTTTCCCTTTTTATAGGGGGTTCCCATTTTATCAGAGTACTCTAATAAATTTCTTTAAATGATCTTCCGACTCGGTTGCTTATTGGGAAAGGAAAACCGAGGCAGAACCTTGGGTCAGATTTAGCCATTAATACTTACGTATCCTGGGTTGGTGAGCTGGTTGCTTGTTGTGTGGTTGTTGCACTCCTAAGGAGAGAAGGAATAGGGGAGAGAGAGAGAGAGAGAGCGAAAGAGAGGGAGGGAGGGAGGGAGGGAGGGAGGGAGGGAGGGAGGGAGAGAGAGAGAGAGAGAGAGAGAGAGAGAGAGAGAGAGAGAGAGAGAGAGAGAGAGAGAGAGAGAGAGAGAGAGATGGTGTTGATTCCACGAAATGCCTTTTGAGATAGGAAATGAGCAGGCTGAAACTGAGGGAGGGGTCAAAGATGCCATCAGTCTCAAATCCTTTTGCTCCCACAAGCAGAGGTGAAATTCAATAGGTTCTGGAGAACCGGTAGCGGAAATTTTGAGTAGTTCAGAGAACCGGCAAATACCACCTCTGGCTGGCCCCAGAATGGGGGTGAGAATGGAGATTTTGCACTATCCTTCCCCCAGGAGTAGGGTGGGTGGAAATGGAGATTTTGCAATATCCTTCCCCTGCTACTCCCACCAAGCCACGCCCACAGAACTGGTAGTAAAAAAAATTTAAATTCCACCACCACTGCCCATAAGAAATCTAAATCCAGCCCTCCTTGAATTCCAATTCGATTGCCAATTTGCTTTAACCGTTAGTAGTTCAGATTTTTGTAGAGAACTTAAGCTTGCAATAATTCTTTATAACCATTTGAACTGCCGGGATCTCCTGATTTCCTTGCCGCTTGATATTTGAATTTCTCAGGCCAAATAGTTGATCAATTTCTTCAGATTCCTCCAAAGGAAATCATTCAAAAATATCCCAAGGGCAACTCAATAATGAAAAATAGGTTGTCTATCTACGGCCCTTAGCTTCCTTGTTGCTAAAAAGTCCGGGGACACTGATTATGTGCAAAATTCTCTCTCTTTTGATGTGACTTCTAAAGTCTCTTTCTTCAAACACAGAGAAAACTGGTAGAAGACAGACGATAGAAGGAATCACCATCCCTATTCAATTGCAGATTTGCAATGTCCCAGAATTATGGCAACCAGCTGCAGAATTCTGGGAACTGAAGTCTTGTATTGGTATTCCTACTGAAATTCTTTTGCTCTTAACAGAGGCTTCCTGTTTCATTTTGTCTGATGTGCCTGCTCTGAATATCATCTAGATATGTTCCTTTTTCCCAAGTTTGGCAATTTTAAAATGTGTGGACTTCAACTCCCAGAATATCCCCAACCAGCTTGGGAGTTGAAATTCACACTCTTAAAGTCGTGAAGTTTGAAACTTGCAATTCAGAGGCTTGGCAATGGACTCTTATTTATGACGGTTTTCCGTGTCCTGGGGGGGGGGTCATGGGATCCGACTTTTGCGACTTTCTGACAAGTCAATGGGGAAGCCTTTAACCGGGCTACGATCTCTTTAAACACTGCAACAATTTGCTTAACAACCGTGTCAAGAAAGAATTGGGGCACAACTCCCTCGACAAATGTCTCACTGAGCAATATAAATTTTGGGTTCAATTGTGGTCGTAAATCGAGGAATAACCTGTATATTAATCTTTCTTCACAAAGCAGCTAATTAAACTCTTCACCTGCTTGTTCATCCATCGACACCCAAAACGCCATGCCGTGTCACCTTGGACACGCATGCCCGAGGTTCACCATAACTGTTCTAGCCAGAGTCTCTTTATTTCTCTACTGCATATCCATTAGTCCAGGGCAGTGGTGGGATTGAAATAATTTAACAACTCGGTTAAATTATTGCCCTAATGATTTCTTCCAACAACCAGTTTGCTCAGAAAGTTAACAACCGGTTCTCCCAAAGTGTACGAACTGGCTGAATCGCACCACTGGGTCCAGGGCAGTGGTGAAAATGTAAAATTTGTTACTACCGGTTCTGTGGTTGTGGCTTGGTGGGGGGGGGGGGTAATGTGACTGAGTGGGCGTGGCCAACTTTAAAAAAAAACTTTTTAAAACCATTTTTTCTACAACCTCTTCGGCCGAAGAGGTTGTAAAAATAATGCTTTTAAAAGCCTCTGACGATCCCAGCTGAGTTGCCTGATCGGCAGAGGCTTTTTTTTCTTTTAAAAACATTTTTTTCTACAACCTCTTCGGCGGAAGGGTTTGTAAAAATAATGCTTTTAAAAGCCTCTGACGATCCCAGCTGAGTTGCCTGATCGTCAGAGGCTTTTTTTTCTTTTAAAAACTTTTTTTTCTACAACCTCTTCGGCAGAAGGGTTTGTAGAAGAAATGTTTTTAAAAGCCTCTGACGATCTCAGCTGAGCCGCACGATCATCAGAGGCTTTTTTCCCCCCAACTTTTAAAAGCATTTTTCCAGCCGAAGAGATTGTAGAAAACATGCTTTTAAAAATAATTTTTAAAAAGGCCTCTGATGATGGTGTGGATCAGCTGGGCATGGGGGGGGGGGCAGGGATTTTTGCTACCGGTTCTCCGAACCACCCATCGCCATCGCTACCGGATCAGGTGATCCGGCCCGAACCGGGAGCATTTCACCCCTGGTCCAGCAGTGTCAAATACAAGATCCGATGTGGTCGGATGTGGCCTGTGATGTGGTCAGATCCACGCAGGGCCGGCCTGGAAAATGTAAGGGGCCAGCCTGTGTCGTTTCAGCCGGTCTTCCAGTGCGAAGAGGAAACATCGGGCCAGCATTTTGGAGAGAGGCATCAAGTTGACCACTGTTAGGAAATGGCTATTGCCTAATTGGTTGGGTTGGCAATATATATAAACCATCAATGCATGTTTGTAGTCAAAATGTATAACTTTAAGACTATAATGCTGTATTGCATCATACTGTATTCTGATTGGCTAGCTCTGTAGCCAATGTACTTAAGAGGAAGCTTGAATCATGGCTTATTGTTCTTATTACATTATTATTGCTACCTCTCTGCCTGTTCTCTCTGCATGATCACTGCTTGATCATTGCTACTTGTTGGTTTCTACTGTTTTACTGATAGTTTTACTGCTGTACTTGTTCTTGTTTGCAACTCTAAAAAGAACTGTTTTATTGCATATGACTACAACAACTGGTAAGAAGACTTTGTTCTTGGAATATCTCTGGATTGACATTTTAACTATCTTTATATGTGTATGACCTGGATTGTTTATTGGACTTTGCTTTGCTTTTTCCTAAAAGTAAAAGAATATCACAACTCAGTGTGTCTGTATTGACAGTGCTTATTCATACTCGCTCTCAGCCGTTTTCTCATGTGCACACCCTTGCTACTCAAGGGTTACTCTGCGCATATTCCTTAACAGCCACATCCACCCAGTCGGCCACGCCTCCCAGGCCCCTCCCTCAAGGTCAACCACAGCCCTGATGCGGCCCTCAATGGAATTGAGTTTGTCACCCTTGCGTTAGTCGTTCAGTGTTCAGATTTTTCCTCCCTTTCTTTGCATTTTCCGAAAGTTTAAAACCGGATCTGCTTAACGTAATGAGGAGTGTACATTACCTAAAAGTGGTTCCTCTAGTTTGATACGCCACTAGCCCTATGACCATCAAGATCCCAACGAGGCACCCAGCAGAAATACCAGCAATAATTCCTGCGCCCAGTGCTTTCTTCTTCTTCTTTGTTGGCACGTCTTCTGAAAGACACAAGACAAAGACAACTGAAACCATTGTAAATACAGGTATCCAGTTTGAAGAAATCCAGTTGGACATCCTGGATCTAGGGCAGGGGTGGGCAATGACGGCTCTTTTACAACCTGTGGACTTCAACTCCCAGAATTCCCGAGACAGCCAAGCTGTTGTGTTTCTTGGATGCAGGCTTAATTATTCGCCCTTTAACAAGTCCAATAATTCCAGGAGCAGCTGAGCCAGACTGAAAACAAGTTTAAAAAAAAAAACCCGCCAGTATAAATGTGAATTTACCTCTTGTGACCGATAAGAATGCTTCCCCCGTTAGCGATTTTGTAGGGGATTTCATGATTATCCCGTAGAGGCCCATGTCTAAATACGAAACATTTCTGATGGTAAGGACACAGTCTTTCAACGGCACGTGGCCGGAATGATATCCCCTTTGGGGTTCGAAGGTGTTGTTCATGGGATAATACAGCAAAATTTGAATGTAAGTTATGTTTTCTCCTCGGTACCACAAGCAGGACTGGGTCTCGTTCGTGGGCTTTTGAGGAACCATCTCGACATTCTGCCCTTCTGTAGGAAAGCGTGGTGTCACGACAATTGTAAAATCGGGCATCTTCTGAGCCTCTATGAACATTAAGTAGGAACTCACAAGATGAGCTGTGAAAGAAAAGGCATTCAACGGTCATTTCATATATATATACTATATATATATATATATATATGTCTGTCTTTGGTTATTCAGGTCTTCTCCCACGTAAAATTGGAAGTGTCTTGGCGACGTTTCGACGAAGTCTCATTCGTCATCTTCAGGCTGGTGTTCTCGGCTTCGTGCTTCCAGGAGCACGAAGCCGAGAACACCAGCCTGAAGATGACGAATGAGACTTCGTCGAAACGTCACCAAGACACTTCCAATTTTACGTGGGAGAAGACCCCAATTTTACGTGGGAGAAGACCCGAATAACCAAAGACCTACATACAAATACCCGCAAAAACCTGAGAAAATATATATATATATGTATGTAGGTATATGTATATCAGGGGTGGGTTCTAATTTTTTTTACTACCAGTTCTGTGGGCGTGGCTTATTTTGTGGGTGTGGCTTGATGGTCATGTGACAATTATTTAGGATTTAGCAGAGATACTGGTCTACCAGGCTTTTAACTGCTTGCAGAGCTGTACTGATCTACCCATTTATTTTTGCAGGCACTGGTCTACCCATTTATTTTTGCAGGCACTGATCTACCCATTTATTTTTGCAGGCACTGATCTACTCATGTATTTTTGCAGGCACTGATCTACTCATGTATTTTTGCAGGCACTGGTCTACCCATTTATTTTTGCAGGCACCAGTCTACTCATTTGTTTTCTTTTAACACTGATCAGCTGTAGGGCGGCCCTTTGAAGCCCCGCGGCAAGAATTTAAACAGCCTCTAGCCATCAGCTGGGACTCAGGAGGCAGCAATAGATTGGGGGTGGGGCCAAATAAAAGGTAAGAATAACGTGGGGGGGGACAGGGGGGCAGAACCAGTTTGGTGATGTCATATCGTCACCGCTACCGGCTCGGCGGAACCGGGCAGAACCGGGAGGAACCCACCACTGATGTATATTAATTGATTAGCCTATGGGGCCATATCAACTCCCCGTGTTTCCCCGAAAATAAGACCCTGTCTTATATTTTTTTTCCCACGATGGGCATCAAAGAATACTTTGCATTCTACTCAGATTACTCCAACTGTCATCGTCTTAAAATATAAGGCGCTTATTGGCTAATTCCAAGCAGCTGACTGCTCCTTTGGGTCAGGGCAACCTAGACCTTCTCCATGTCAAGGTTCCAAGGAACACCCCCAATGAAATAAAACATAGACCCGTGATGGCGAACCTATGGCACGCGTGCCACAGGTGGCACGCGGAGCCATATTGGTGGGCACATGAGCGTTGCCCTAGCTCAGGTCCAGCAAGCATGTGTGTGCTGGCCAGCTGATTTTTGGGCCTTCTGGGCCCAACGGAAGTCAGCAAATGGGCTATTTCCGGCCTCCGGAGGGCCTCCGGGGAGATGGGGAAGGCTGTTTTTGCCCTCCCCAGACTCCTAGAAAGCCTCTGGAGCCTGGGGAGGGCAAAAAATGGACCTGATGGGGGAGCATGGGGGGGGTCGCGCACACATGCATGGGGGGGCAGGGGGCATAGAATTATGGATGTGGGCATGCATGCGCGTGACCACCCCACACTCCCCCAGCTTTTGGCACGCGATGGCAAAAAAGTTAGCCATCACTGACATAGACAGTTCCTAACTGCCACTCCAGAGTCCTTCTCGATCTCCTGACCCACAATGGTTGCTATCCCAGAACTTGCTCCCCACCAGACTCCCAATCAGACCTGTGAGAAGCCAGATTAGCCGGGATGTTCTCCGTTCTGATGGTTGCTTATGCTTGGGCAGCGTCGCCATGATGTTCTTAGCAAATCTAGGACAAAAGGGCTTGTGACATGCTGGGAGATCCTCAAAGTGCCCAGCCAGGTGCCTCAGTTTCCCCCCTTGTCTTTTGTCCACGCTGTCAGTGACTATACAGGGACAGTCCTGAACTCCTGCTTCCCTCCCCAGCCTACCTCACTGCCAGCCCCTCCCACCATTCCTTTATGAGCTCTCAAGGCAGAGGACGACGTCACAAAGCAGGCAAGAGACCCATTGAGAGGAATAAGTGACTCTTGTTCCTTCTGGCCTGGACAGATTCTCTATTCAGGGAAGGAGAGACGCTGGAGGGTACTAGGGACGTCCTGGATATGTTCCCCCTGATGGAAATGGGGAAGGAGTAAATTGAGGTCCCAAGGGTGCTTTTTCACGAGGCCAATGGACCTTCTTGGTTTTGCCTTGAAGACGTTTCGCTTCTCATCCAAGAAGCTTCTTCAGTTCTGACCAAATGGTGGAAGGATAGAAGGATTTATATTCCTTGCAGTCATCTGGTCATTAGTGCTCTTCCTGAGAGTCATTCAGGCCACATGGAGGTTTATCTCTGTGCCCTCAGGGTCATCTGAGTAGTGCAAATGGGTGTGGCACCTTCTTGGAACTGGTGAAAGGACCGTATTGTAAACAGGAGATGGGTGGTGTCTATTCTTCCCCTTCTGTTTGAGAGAGGGCTGTTCAATCTTAATGTAGATGGACTCTTTGACCCCGCACTCTCAGGAAGAGTGCTAACGACCAGAGGACTGCAAGAAATATACATCCTTCTACTCTCCACCATTCAGTCAGAACTGAAAAAGCTTCTTGGATGAGAAGCTGAACATCTTCAAGGAAAAAACAAAGAAAGTCTAGTTGCCTTTTGAAAAAGAACTTTGGGACCCCAATTTACTGCTCCCCCCCGATCTTGGGGAATATATCCAGGAGGGTCATTTGTGACCTTCACAGCCAGCCTTGGATAAGCAAAGTCAATGGGGGGAAGCCAGATTTGCTTCATGACCCTACAAACTCTCTGTCAGGTTTCGATGTCGTCTCAAATAAAATAAATTGCATTTCCAGACAGATAGTCTTTGAAGAAATCTTTCATTTTATTAAGCATGACAATCTGTCCCCGATCGTGGCGTAGCCAACTCTGACTTCTTGACCCTAAACCTTCCCTTTCCGTTCCCCAATTCTCTGCGTCTCATTGGCCTTCTTCCAAATCACTCTCCCCATATCTACTACTTAAGCTCCCAGGAATGTCCCCCCTCCCATCTCATCTCCTAGGGGATATTATCTTCAAGGAAAATAAGTAGGTGAAATGTCAAGCATCCTCTTGCCAGCTGCCCCCTCTTCTTCTTATGTCAGCACTAGAGTAAATGCAAGTTGAAGTGTTGACACTCAAAATACTGCAGTGATTGTGCAGTAACAACAGCAGCTGTGGCAAAAAAAAAGGTTGAAACAACTGCATTGCTCAACAAGAGAAATTTTGGGCTCAGTTGTGGTCGTATGTCGAATTTGCAGAAGAATAGGCAAGACCTATTTGCTAATCATTCAGAACACAGAATATAGAATAATAGAATTGGAAGGGACCTTGGAGGTCTTCTAGTCCAACCCCATGCTTAAGCAAGAGACCCTATACCATTTCAGACAGTTGACTGTCCAGTCTTTTCTTAAAAACCTCCAATGTTGGCGCACCCACAACCTCTGGAGGCAAGTTGTTCCACTGATTAATTGTCCTCACTGTTAGGAAGTTTCTCCTTAATTCCAGATTGCTTCTCTCCTTGCTTAGTTTCCATCCATTGTTTCTTGTCCTGCCTTCAGGGCAGGGGTGGGTTCTACTTACCTTTACTACTGGTTTGCAATGGGGCCGCAGCTTCCTGATGACGTCGGGGTCAGTGGGCGGAGCGTCCCGTCGGTTTTACTACCGGTTCGATAGAACCGGTCCGAACCAGGAGCAACACACCACTGCTTCAGGGGCTTTGGAAAATAGCTTGACCCCTTCATTTTTGTAGGAGCCCCTGAAATATTTGGAACACTACTATCATGTCTCCCCTAATCCTTCTTTTCATTAGAATAGACATGCCCAGTTCCTGAAACCGTCCTTCATTCTTCATTTCACAGATAGCTGCTTGATGGGAGTAGATCTTGAGGATCTAGTCCCATCCCATCAAATCCCCAAAACTTTAATCTTAGACTGTCTACTGTAGACCTCACCCCATTCCTAAGAGGTCTGTAAGGGGCGTGCATAAATGCACCAGCGTGCCTACCATCCCCGTCCTAATGTTTTCTTTTATTCGTATCCTTTTCATGTATTTATAATTATGTTTACACCTGTATCTGTCATAAAATACATGCTTGACAAAATAAAATAAATTAAAAAATAAAAAATAAATAAATCTACCAAGAGCCTTGGTAGTACGGGGGTTTAAGGCACCCTGTTATTAAGCTTATTAAGACCAGCTGCCTGCAATTACTGCAGGTTCGAATCTCGGCTCAGGGTTGACTCAGCCTTCCATCCTTTCTAAGGTAGGTAAAATGAGGACCCAGATTGTGGGGGCAATAAGCTGACTTTGTATAAATATACAAAAGGATGAAGGCTATTGCTGAGCACATTGTAAGCCGCCCTGAGTCTTCGGAGAAGGGCGGCATATAAATCAAAATTTAAAAAAAAAAATCTAAAGAACACTGGGATAATAGAAAAATTGATAAGATGGGGGAAACTTCTGATGACTGCCATGAAGCTTGCTGTGGATCCAGTCAAAAAGAATCTACTGGTTTACGTTTGGGGAAGGGGGAAATTCTATCATTTGTGTGTGTGTGGGGGGGGGTGTTTCTGGGTTCCTGTATAAAGGAAGTTTGTTGCCGTACCAAAAAAACAAAAACGAATAAACAAAGAAAAATAGGAGGAGGAAAGAGTGTTAGGTATCTTTGCTGCCTCAAGTTATTTACAAAAATAATAACGGTGTGGTGAAAAATTAAATAACTAACCAAATGAATCACTGTTTCCACAATTTTATTGGCACCCGATTCAAGGCGGAGCGTTGCTAGTAGCTGTTGAGCCAAATGCACCACCCGATCAGGAATCTATAGGGCAGAATTATGGAAATGGCGTGTTTAGCTCTGGAGATCTCTAACAATTTCTCCCCTTTTTCCGTTACGCCCGTCCTCTTCTTATGTATTCTGTAAATAGCTCTATCCTCCAACCTAAGGTTCTGGAGGTGCAGGAAGCAGTCCTTCCCGATAAAATGCCTTTTATTGTAGGCTTCCTTGAAATAGATCGTGTGATTCTCTACGTAATAAATCAAGATTTCGGAAAATGTCAAGCTTGCATTTTCTCCTTTGTACCACGCGCAGGATATGGTGTCGTTCTTGTTTGCTCCTGGGAAAAGAGTGACGTCCTCGCCTACTCTAGGATTCGTGGGCTCTATCCGGATCATAATGGTTATAGCGCTGCCAACTTGTGCAAACAACAAAGGTGAAGTCAAGATACGAGCTGCGGGGAGAAAAAAACCAGGACATTTCTAAGAAAAATGCCAAAGAGGCCATTCCAATTTTTGCTGCCAAGAAATCCCAAAGATGCTTTTTTAATGATGGCCCAGTGGGGATTCTGTGTACTCCTTTTGATCTGTCCCCGTCCACACACGCACACACAAACACAGCCAGCCGAGGGTTAAGGAAGCACTTGGAACACACCCAGGTCTTTATCTCCAACTTGGCAGCGATATACACACCGTCTGCCAAGTGCTTTTATTTCCACAGAAAACAGAAAGATAGTATACTCAGCGTACAAGAGTCCAACAGAATTAATATTCCTCTCAGCAGTTTCGGACGAGGCTTTAGTGACTATCCAAGGTTTATGTTTGTTCGTCACAGGGATCACTGGCCACCACCCTCTATTATATAGTCTCTGGGGTGTGGTCCAGTGACTCAGTTCTAATCCCTAGCACGCCTCCTGAGCTGCTGCAATCGTTTATCACGCCTTCGGAGGCGTGCGTCCAGGAATGATGTCTCTCCACTCTCATCCGAGACACCTGTCTCCCTGCTAATCTCCTCTCCCTCGGCCGGCACCTGAGACAGTGCCAGAGGGGAGGGGCCTGGAGAGGGAGGCCTGGCTGACTCCTCTTCCTCATGCTTGGAGCTTTCTTCCTCCAATGGGACAGGCTCAGAGGGCGGGGCCACAACACCTTTTAAAATGATCAGACTTATCCAGAGGTGGGTTTCAGCAGGTTCTGACCAGTTCTGGAGAACCGGTAGCGGAAATTTTGAGTAGTTTGGAGAACCAGTAAATACCACCCCTGACTGGCCCCGCCCGCATCTATTCTCTGCCTCCCAAGTCCCAGCTGATCGGGAGGAAATGGGCATTTTGCAGTAACTTTCCCCTGTAGTGGGGTGGGAATGGAGGTTTTACAGTATCCTTCCCCTGCCACGCCCACCAAGCCATGCCCACCAAGCCACACCCACGGAACCGGTAGTAAAAAATTTTGAAACCCACCCCGGATTTATCGTCAGATTTTTTAACATCACGCATTAAAACATACGTGTCAAAATGTGACATGAGTGGCTTATTTCCAGGCAGGATAATACATGTTAGCTCCATAAACTCCTTTTACTTTGTTTATTGATTTACTGATTTATTGATTACCGCTCCTCTCACCGATAAGTAAAAAAGATAGAAAAATAATGACAATTGCAACGCTGTGTAAAAAGGCACGTTAGCGCCACAATTCTCTGTTAATTTGCTCATTGATTTATTGGTTTATTGATTTGATTGGCCCTGAGGGAATTCTCTACTCCTTTTATAATGATCAGACTTATCATCAGATTTTTAACATCGCAGGTTAAATCCAAGAACATGCCACTCCTGTCACATTTTGACACATTTGTGTCAAAATGTGACAGGAGTGGCATGTTCTTGGATCAGGTAAAGAAGGCAGTTCCTCTTCCTCATCACATCACCAGCTGCAGCTGCGTGCTTTCTCCACCTGCAGCCTCAGGGCTGTCCTGCTGCAGCCATGCTTCAGCCAAATCCCTCTCAGACAGCTGGTAGGAGCCATTAACCAGTTCCCCTCCAGATGTGCCTGGAAATGGCTCATCTTCCTCCGAGCTGACATCTGGAGAGATATTTGGGGGAAGCATCCGGAGGAGGCGTCCTCAC